ATACACAAATTACTGTATTTTCTTTGATGAAATAATCAATTTTCTAAATTAGCCATGAGTCTGAAACTTACAACAACAATATAAAAACTATTACAGAATCAAAATCACCAAACAGATTTAAAATTGGTGTTCTAGAATTACTGATGGATAAACAAGATGTTTCCCTAGTGTTGCCCCTAATTTTAAAATAATGGCTGACAGTGCTGGCTTCTCAAACACAAATTACTGTATTTTCTTTGATGAAATAATCAATTTTCTAAATTAGTCATGAGTCTGAAACTTACAACAACAATATAATAACTATTACAGAATCAAAATATCCAAACAGATTTAAAATTGGTTTTCTGGAATTACTGATGGATTTGCTTAGATTTTCCCCTAATTACAAAATAATGACTGACAGTGCTGGCTTCGTATACACAAATTACTGTATTTTCTTTGATGAAATAATCAATTTTCTAAATTAGCCATGAGTCTGAAACTTACAACAACAATATGAAAACTATCACAGAATCGAAATCACCAAACAGATTTAAAATTGGTCTTCTAGAAAAAAACACCGTATAACGATGTTTTAGAAAGGTACTGTTGTTTGTGTTTACATGATTACTTGACTATCTAAATACGCAAATTTCACCGAATCTTTCATTTAAATTAAAAAACAAATTACACACAAATGTTAATTAATACATGTCTTGAAGTAAAATAGAAACTTACGGTGTCTTTAGAGTCCCTTTCGCTTCACGAGCCGTCTTCTATAACAGCGGTTTTTTCTGAAGCGTAGCACCTGTATACAATATGGCGGCTTGTGTTATCGAGACTTCCGGTTCGGGTGCGCGCCGGTAAGACTTATAGGTAGTTTCCAATCTCTGTGTTATATACGTCTCTGATTCACTACACAACAGGAAGTGTCTAAATATGATAACGTCTTAATTTTTAAACTTGTTAACTTGTTATTGCTTGCATTTTTCCTGGTAGAAGGGGGATAACTCTTACTAAATATGTTGGTCTGTGACGCCATATATACCTACCATGATTATCGCTACGATGTTCAGGACCACTTCCACATAATTTAGTCTGAAATAAAGCGTAAAAAATCTTAGATAATACAGAAAAGTTTTGTTCATTTAGTTTTACTTGATAACTATATCGTGAAAGACCGTCACAGCTGCTCTTGGACCGATTACTAGGAACTAAACTATAACATATATGCATGTCTGTCTAATTTAACATAAAACAAATTCCGCCGAATACAGAACCTGTGTAAATTACGAATAGTGCGCATACAAAAAAACTTTTTAAAAACATAAAAAACTGATACAAATTTGATATACCTTATAAAAAATTGACCCAGCACATAATTGCATTAGTTAATTTTCAAATTATAAAAAGTATACCTTAAAAAAAAGATTAATTCACTTTACAAATATTGAGTGAACACAAAGTCTGTTTATCTTACAAACATCCCGATTATAAAATCTGCATACCTTACACACATTGCGGAAACACAAAATCTTAAAGCTCAGCTTGTACACATTATAGCTGCGACACTTACAAACTCTGGGCGAACACGAAATCGTCTTTGAGGTCAGAATATCTCTGGTCTACGGTCACGTAGTGTTTATCTACAATAGAAATATTACATTTAGATATGTTATTACTTTAACTGTAATGTATGCATGATCTTATTGAAAAAGATTAGTTTAACTGCTTCAAGATACAACATACAAGAATTTTTATTTAATGTGGCATATTTAAAACAACAAGAAAAATCGTGGAATGTATATCCCCCGCTTGCAGGACATATTGTAGGTAAACATGATTGAAGTTAGGTTTAAACATGTGAGTATCGTGCTGTTGAGACATAATGTATAGCTTGAAACTCGAAGAAAAAAAAGCCTTATACAAAAGTTAGACTTTTTATTGAACATGTAGGTATTACAGTGTAAATTAATCGTTTAATCCATCAGAGTTTACTTACCTCATTAATTATCCGTAAATATGCACAAATCACATCGGTTGGCAAACTTAGCATGAGTCGGATGTGCATACGGAATTTTGTTGAAATATCTGCACAATATTTACAACAATGTATCACATTATTGTATCACAAGAAAACCAAAGAGTGCCCGAGATGGGTGGAAAGACAGAGGAACACAAACATTGTTATCAAGTTTGAAGGAATTTGGCTAATATTTGATAGAGTTATTAAGCGGACACTGCAGATAATGACGTTTTTCGTTAATCACGGGACCATAACTCCGCCAAATGGAGTCCGATTAAAGTGGTCATCGAACTTTGCCGAGCCCTTAATTCGTTAAATCTGGTTACTAAGTTTGAAGACAATCTGATAATATTTGCGAGAGTAAATGAACAGAAACGGCAGATAATGACGTTTTTTCGTTATTCAAGGGGCCATAACTCCGCCAAATAAAGTCCGCTGAAAGTGCTCATCGAACTTGGTCGAGCTCGTAAGGCAGTTAACCCTGGTACCAAGTTTGAAGAAAATCGGTTAACATTTGTTGCAGCTATTGCTCGGAAACGAAGCGTGAAAGACAGACAGACGGACGGACGGACGGACGGACGGACGGACAAACCCAAATTAATATCCGCCGTTTCGGTAAAAGCGGGGGATAATAAAACATTAACACTGTAGTGCTATTCTTGCGACAAACATGAAGTATAATAACAATCACATGCAGGTAATTACAATAAATAGTTAAACGACAAAGTTATTGTTTTAGCTAAAACAAATTAGTGTAAAATCCAGTCGAAATAAAGATAATCGTGTCACAGGAAGGTTGGTTATTTAAGCATTTAACTGCTTTTGTATGGTATTTATGATCTATTTGAATGACACAGCTTTACAAGCAAACAACATAATGCACGCTATTTGAATGACACAGCTTTGCAAGCAAACATATGTTGTTTGCTTGCAAAAGCACGCATTATGTTGTTTGCTTGCAAAGCTGTGTCATTCAAATAGATCATAAATACCATACAAAAACAGTTCCATACTTAAATTTACATTTTATATGTCTATAGGGGTGATTTAAGTTTATCAATAGAACCCTGAGCTGAAAGTTATTGAAAATGTTTCGATTTTTTCCCGGAACAAATTTCGCACATGGATAAATGCAGTGAACACCGTAAATCCGACCTTGCCCTCCACGAGGGAGTTATTTTTGGAAGTTAAATGAGCAAAGAGAAAAGTTCCGATTTGTAAAGAATCCAGACGTGAATTTATTTGTTGATTGTATGGGAATCTGACTACAGTCGGTAGATTCTATAACAGCCTCGTTATTTGACATGTCGTCAGAAGCTGAGGAAACCGTGGCTGCGAGACGCGTGAAACTTATAGCGTTTGAAGTGAGTGATCTTTCGATCACAGGGGCACGCAACTACTTATAGGCTTTCAGTCGCTGGGTACGTATAACCTTATAACGTACCCAGCGACTGAAAGCCTAAAACAAGTCAATATTAATAGTAGTTGCGTGCCCCTGTGTTGCGATGGAGCACAGGGGTTCGTTACAAATGTCTGAAATGTTTATGTGTGCTGTGACTCATATCAGTAGGTCTGTAACATATGTGTCAGTAGGTCTATAGAATATGTGTATTTCAGACATGTGTAACGAACCCCTGTTGATCAGTGCAGTGTATCAGACGATATTTCCGATAAATTGCATGAGTGTTAAAATTGTTTCCATTGCCGGCATTTTGTACGATATTGCAGACCTTGGTCTTGCTTTTGTTGTAATAAAGTATTTTTTTATATTTTCTTTTTTCTTTTGCAAATAAATTTACAATAACATTGTCAAGTCTAACAATGCACAGCGATATTTCATCAGTCGTCATGTTTATTTACATTGGATATTGTAGCTCCGGTCAGTGTTGTATTAATGCGCGGAAATGCCCAATATTGGACCATATTTATATTCCGCCCATATGGCTAAAGCGCTCTCTCCAACTTCATTTAAAAAAAGGATTGTCTTGCCCATATGTTTCATACCGTAAACAGTAACAATCCATGCAATTCATCACGAGGAATGGGCCTTTATTAAATTTCTAATTTAAATATTTGTCTGATAATCTAGCTCTAACTTCCCTTGTCATACAATAATTCCCTGTCCTACTAATGTTAAATGCTACTTGGTACAGATCCATTAAACCCTTCTGGAGAAGGTAGCCTTTTGAAGGCCAAAATCCACCCAATTCTCTCTTTGTTGCCACGTCCTTCCACCCCAAGAGATCCTTTAAATAGCATTTGATTACATGATCCCAAAAATACAACTAAGCTAAATGAGTTGATGTCAGTTGTTCGATGAAGTCAAGTTTTACACGAAAATGTTGACGGACGGACTATGGACCGACAGATACTGCACCATGGCATAAGCGAAACATGGCAATCAAGTCAAGGGACATCATTTAAGCTGTAACTGCCAATCGCAACGTATCGGCCAATATCGTCAATGCCCGGATTCCGAGCTTTGACGGAATTGACCGAGATGCTGCGATTGGTAGCCTCGATTTAGTAGGTCAAGTACCTTGGTTGAAATATGATTTTGATTCCTGTCTGCATGATTGATAGCAGACAAGTGCAATACAAATGTAAATAAAAAAGATTTACAACTTAATTTACAATTCATGCGCGACTTATCAAAGTCGTCCACGGTCCAGTTGTGTTCAAAGCATAGTGAACTTTACTCAAAATTTTAGCCTTGTATATTTTTCTTAATTATTGAAGTCCAAAGCAGAAAATTATTTAAACACGTGTAATAGAAGCACAATCCATTTATCAGGCTCTTAGTGTCGCGTTAAGCTGTTCATACTTTACACAACGGGACCCATTAGTTTCCTTTTGCCAGGGTCGTAAAATGTAAATTTCACCTGAAGTGTAGACTCAATCAAATGTCGTATAGGTATAGAAGTTATACATATTTCAGTCGATAGGTGCAGGTGGTAGTAACAGGCACTGGAGAATCAATCACAGCTGAATGTTTCGTACCGATGCAATAAGTGTCAGATATGTCATGTATTTCGGGAGGAAACTGAGATAGTGTTTACGTAAAATGAACACCTTTTGGACGTACTAAGAAGGTTATCTTTTAATATAAACATTATCAATCTTTCAAACGATACAAAACATTTTTGTACAGTCACAAAAACGTGTGATTCACTCAGTTGTAGCGAGATCTTTAAATTGGGTCAATTTTCAGACTCCGAGAAAGTTTCCACACTCCTTATATCTTAACCTCTTAATCGGGGTAGGTCTAAACATACACCTTGTAACCGATCCTCGGGTCCCTGTGAATAGTAAATATATAATATGCACAATCAGAAAGAGACTTTGAACTGAGAACACTAACGTTATTTGTTTATTAGCTCCCGTACAGGACTCCGTCTACGTGAGCTATTACATGTAAAATAATTAAAAACTTGTGACGTTATTGTAGGGACATTATACGCGGCCACTATTATAAAAGATTCCCTACCCCATTAGTCGGACCACAGTCATTTACATTGCGATACAATGCGATAAAAGTATGTGCTTATCTGGCTTACCAGGCATAGACGCTACCTCCGGGGAGGCGTGTATATACTTACATAGGTACCAGATGTAGGCGAGGCTACCCCCGGGCAGAGAGTGGGGTCGGAAAACAATGAAGCTTGCATCCCAAGTGCAGATAGCGGCTGTTAAGTAGAACCAGATCAGAACCCAACCCGGCATCTGAAGAACACTCTCCATTGTTGGACCGTTAGTGGTTCGCCCACGCGCTGTGACAGTACCCGAGGTGGAATGTCAATACCACGTGTTCGAAAGTAGTTCACAAAGTCTGTGTTACAATCTCACACATACAAGCTTATTGGTGGTTTTTATAAGGTCGGGCTATCCAGGATAAGTCAAACCTGGAGTAACAGTTATAATGTAATATCCGGGTCACGCTTGTCTTCGACCTTAGGTAAATGTATGCTATATTTCTATTGGACACAAACGAGATAAATATTACGATGATATGGAGTTATCATCCAACGTATATCGAACTGACCTTGGTCGGATACGATAGCGTGGTCACGTGGTGATTGACCATTGAATTGATAACGCTTTGTTAGTTTGACGCGGTAAAGCTTGACACCTTGCTAGCTTCACTCTATTGTAAGCTGGTGCCAATTAAATCTACAAATTTAGAATCATCGAATTATTTTTCTTATCAGGGACCTTATATATTTCATTGGTTTATCACGGTGTCGTAAACACGTGCTTTAAAGTTAATACAGAGACGTATGTTGTAATATATACGTCTCTGGTTATACGTAAATAATGTGTGTTTGTTGACTTTTATCATGTAAGGTGGTATTACTTGAAACAGAAATTATATATAGTTGTGATAATTCAGGGTCGATGGAAACATGGTCTAGCTGTAACGTGACATAACTGTAACCTGAGTCGCACGGTTATTAAGTTACAACACGTGTTCATAGTAACAAAGATTTAGTTGTCTGATCGTACCAACGATAGGTTACCAAAACAGTGATATTTCATACCATAAAAATATACCGTGACCCTTACAAGATATGATTTTTTTTTTTTTTTTTTTTTTTTTTTTAGTTGGGATATTATCGGCTAACCAGCAGATGAAGATATGATTTCGTATGTGACAGATTTTAACTGTACATAAGAATACGTGTCGTGTACCCTCCCTGTGGTGACAGGAGAGTTAGAACCTGGGTTGTTGTGGTGTTCGAGACAAGGGTGGGTTGGGTTGGGTTTTTTGTTTTATTTCCCTTTAGCTAAATCGATAGAGCGGAGGCTTGATTTATTTGTTAAACGTCTTATTGACAGGTAAGGCCATTTAAGGACGTGTCTCCATTTTGTTGTGTGCTTGTGTGTATGTGTGCTGGTGGCAGGTTAGTGCTTACTCACTGAAATACCATGCCAAAAGCACCCAACACGGTATATACAAAAGGGTCACACCGTGTACGTCATTAAAAGCGGAGGGCTAGGAAGCTGGGAAAGCAAACTACACTCCTGTTACAAATGGTGTTCATGAGACAGGGAGTTCGATCCTGGGTTGGTGTGGTGTTCGAAGGCGAACACATCTAAATAAGGGGGAGTAGTATGGCAGGTTTTAATTGTACACAATATTACGGTCGGCTTCTAGCTTTCTACTGAGAATTTCCCCTTAGCTAAATCGCTAGAGCAACGGACTGGGAAGCTAGGGAGTTGCTGGTTCGATCCCCGATGGGCCTGTATCCCTTGGATTTTATGTAGGATGGGTTGTCAATAAATATACATGATTTATTTAATTATTAATATCTAAAACATAAACAGAAAATGATTACACAAAAGTGGAAAATGTTCATTTCACAAGCTAAATTGTAAAAGTTATCTCCCCTGCACTGTTAAATTGGATTGTTATGACAGAATATATGTAATGTTTGTAAATAAGTTTGGAAAGGGCTGAAATAAGCCTAGCCTGATGTCCAATTCAATCGACATATATAAAGTCAATAAAATCTGATGAAATGAAACACAACTGTACACAATATTACGGTCGCCTTCCAGCTTTCTGCTGAGAAATCCTTTAGCTCAATCGCTACAGCAACGGACTGAGAATCTAGGGGGCTACTGATTCGATCCCTGGTGGAAGCACACCACTCGCCCTCCTGTTCCGTAAGTAATAAATTGCAAAGAGGGGAAAATGTAAGATTTTGTGATAGCTTCTTGTATTCAGGTATCTTTTAATTTCCTGTTGTCATTTATAAAATATCATATTTTCGTGCACAAAGCACGGGGATACATTGAAAAACAGACTGTAAACTCATCATTTTGTGTTTGATAATTTAGTGTAAACACGTTCTTTTAATTAAGATTTTTTGTATTTCCTGTTCCTGATTATTAATATTTCACGATTCTTTTCTTCGTACAGTTTTCCCTTCAAATGATTATTCAAGAATCTGATAAAAGTTCACAATAAAAAGTGCATTAACGCATTTAATAAAAATGTTCTTTATAATCATGGTTTCCTGTTTTGGAACCTTTCGACGTTCTCCGTTTTCTAGGAGTTCTAGGGTTGTCTAGAACCGGAGCTTCCATCATGGGAATCTTCACCAAGAGACGAACGGGTTCTTCATTGTTTTCAACAATCCGATTTACCTCGGTCGCCATGCTAAGTTTCCCTTTATCACATATTTCATTAGCCATCTCTGTTTCGTCACACCTGCTGTTGTTTCTGATACTTTCGTTTAGGGGAGACTGGAACCCTTGGTACTTATGTCGTCTGCTGGGTTTGCCGCGGCCATAAACTTCCTGTAACTTCAGTGGCGGGAGTTTACACCCAGTTAACAAATTTGTAGGAGCTCTCGGTATTGCCCCCCTTTGAGTGTGAAATTTTGTCTTTTTCCTTTTCAATATGATATGGCCAGGTATAGGCGGAAGTTTCCTGTCGTCTTCACGACAAAGATCGGAAAGACGTAACTTCCGGTCCGAGGGTATGTGTTGGGGCAATAACGGAGGCAGTGAAACTCTTGGCGGACGTTTAGACTTTTTGAGATTCATTTGATGAGGTGAACAGGAGCTGTCGGGAAGGGGGTTTATAGGAGGGAGGTGGATACCCTTATGTTCATAACGTACATACGGGCCGGCACTAGAATTAATGCTATTTGACTTTTCCGGATGAGGCTCCGTTTTATTGTCATTTGTATTGGCAAGTTTCTTTTCCTTGACGCTACTCCTGCCAGTATACGGCTCAAGTCGATTTTGTCCGTTTTTAGAAAATGTATATTTTACATTATCTATTGAGAATATGATCTGACTGTTTGATCCGAATCGTTCGCACAAAGAACATTTCGCCAAAGCCGATGTGTTTGCTCCCTTTTTTACCGTAATCAATGCGTTTTTGGGCTGGAGACAGTCATCTGAGCCGGACAGGGCAACGAATGACCTTTGTGACGAGCTAGCCGTAGGAGATTCTTTCTCCATGATTGTTGGGAGGACCTCTACGATGCCACATCTTCCGTGACAATATGGCATGGACCCTACCTGATCGATGTCCTCCTCGTCATTCTTCTGTTGACGTTGTTTCTTACGTGTGTCCCCTGCCATACTGCTTTGCGAAGCATGTGGTGAACTCAGACCGTCCTGTTGGACTTCCGGTGTTTCCTGCAGGGTCATCCTACCGTCTCCATGGTTTGCCCTTTTCTCTTGGTATTGCTGCCATATAAAATTATCCCGGGGCGAATTCTTGGCCGACTGGTTCGGAGTCGTGTAGTGCTTAGTTTCCGCTCCCAAGGGTTTCAAATATCGCATCATATTAGCCGCGGCGTTTGTGTTCGATGACCCCTTTAAAAGCAGTAAGGAAGCTTCCTGGAAAATATCGCCAACGCTGACCCCGGCTTCACCTAGAAGCCCTCGGTCACCACACAACTGAAACTCGGAGAAACATTTCCGGATGGGCTGGCTGAGGATTTCTGTCACTCTAAGAGGTCGGAACTCCTTGCCATTTTTCCATGAGAGATTATTTTGAATGTTAAATGTTTTGCTATCAGATTCAATTAGGTTACAGTTTGTATACGACTTTGTTGTCCTGCTATCCTTCTCCGAGTCCTGACCGTTACCTTGTTCTAACACTTTGTTATTCCGCCATTCTTGGACGGCCTGCTGCGTCCTTGCTAGGTCCTCTTTGGCATCCAATATGGCCACCTGGTGTTCTGCCTCCGGAAGGCTCACCATTGACCTGTTCCGAGTAAGCACCTGATCTGTAGGAGAAACGAAATATGTACGTTTACGTACAGGCATAAGGAATTCCAGTATTTAAATATTCAGGTTTACAAGTCTGTCCCAAATTTTCGCAATTTGCTTTTTTTTAATTTTTTTTTTTATAACCAATGTAACCTCAAAAATTCAAAATAATAACAAGCACTAATTGTAATGGGAGACCATTACAGAAGTCTCCAAAACACCCCCTCAGCTATGTTCGCAGTGCCAAAATACACCTACATATGAAATTAGAGCAAAATCGACCAATATTTAATTTCGACCAATGAGAGGTTGTGGCGGCCATCTTTGTTGACCGATCGGAAAATATAAGATCATTTGCACACACCCTTACCATGATGAACACTTGTGTAAAGTTTCATTAATTTCCGTCCAATAGTTTTTGAGAAATGTGAAGAAGAGAAGAAGAAGAAGAAGAAGAAGAAGACTTATGAGAAATAAAATATATACTATCAAGCAATCGGCAACCGTTGGCACTTTCAGTAAACTACGACAATACATTCTTGTTAGCGGAAAGTGCCGTTGGTTTCCCATTGCGTAACAAGCAGACTTATTTTGATAACTTGAAAGTAAAGGTATTTTTGTAAGCATTTCAGCGACCGCGACGCTGTAGATGAATTGTCAACTTTTCAGATCGACCTACAGATGTACTTCCATTTCAAAACAAGACGATTACGATACATATGTATTGAGATGACAGAATTTGTGGAAACTACAAACGAAAATATCAAGTAAAAACAAGCATGTCCTTTAAGTGGACGACATAACAAATTTAAAAATAGGTTTGGAGAGAAAAAAAAATAAGCACAATGCTCATTCCCGTTTACGGAAATTGCCGAAGGTTCCCGATTGAGATCACAGAGGAACTTTTTGATCCGGACTGCGGTGATCCTTTCCTAAATTACAATACATACTTCATTAATCCGGAAAAGATAATCTTTGGTATTTTGTTCGGAAACTTAAGTGACTGGTCAAATCATGTCCCGCACTCAGTGATATTTTTCCGTGTACATGTACTTACATTTCATGGTCGTCTGCTGGTGGGTCAGGTCTTTTTACAGCCACCATTCACCTGTCACCAATAAATAAATATACTTATCAATGTGTAACAAAACTACAAGTGTCTCGTGCACATTCTCTAGTAATTGAAATAGATAAATATAAAATGTTGTTATAGACGGAAGATTTTTACTATTTGTTATACGACCACTGATGTCGAAGATAGTAATAATTTTGTATTATGGTTAATATCTACAAATAATTTGGGTATCGCAGTGAAATCCCTTATAGATACAATATTGTGTAAATAAACCTCTCTTTAGCGATAGCAAAGGCGAAATGGATAATTTGGTCAGAAACCACAGCTTGTCAGTAAGCTTGTCTTAATTTGGTCAGATACGACTGTATCATTTGGTCAGATACGACAGTGTGTAAATTAACCTGTCTTTAGCGATAGCAAAGGGGAAATGGATAATTTGGTCAGATACAACAGTATGTCAATTAACCTGTCTTTAGCGATAGCAAAGGGGGACTGTATCATTTGGTCAAATACAACATTGTGTCAGTTATTATGTAGCGATAGCAAAGGGCTGCTGGATCATTTGCTCAGATACGACAGTGTGTCTGTAAGGCTGTCTTTAACGACAGCAAAAGGGGGACTGGATCATTAGGTCAGACAGGACACTATGTCAATAAACATGTCTTTAGCAATAACAAAGGGGACTTGGTCATTTGGTCAGACACGACAGTGTGCCCGTTAGCCTGTCTTTAGCTAAAACAATGGGGAACTAATTCGTTTGATCAGAGACTGCAGTGTGTCATTAAACCCAGACAATTGCTAAAGATGATATAGATAATAGATACTATGAAAGAACAATGTAGTTTTTATCGTCTTTTCGAGAGAATATGATAGTTTTCAAACGCTTATTATCAAATGCCATGGTTATTCAACGTATAGTCTTTAGTGGTCTATATTTCCTTTTTCGCCTAGAAGCTAAGACTCGGATCAATAAGAACAAAATAATTACCTTTCGGGTCCCGCCATTCCTGTCAGCCTCCTCGCACAAATTGCTTAGCGACGACGTTGACGACAATACACATGACGTCACATTGTTTGTGACGCCTTGTCGATTGTACTGCGGAAGGATAATTAGCACTAGAACCATGGAATGTGAAAACTGTCGCTAGAATATCAAAGAACTCCGCATTGTTAACGTTTTTCAGGCGCTCTACATGCTCGTTTGTTTGTCTAATTCACGTCTCATGATTTTCACGTAAGATACGAAGGACGGAAGTGACATTGCATATCTATATAATACCAGACATACAGAGACGAAAACGACAAATCTAACTGTTTCATCCATAAGGGTCAAGAAAATATTATTTCTTCATCAGTTTGCCCGGAACTTAAAATAAACCCATACTTGTATACTTGACCCAGTCTTGTTTGTTGTCTGAAAAACGCCCGATAGTATCGTATGCAAATGAGGCGACAAGGTCAACATTTTGAAAAATAAAAGTTTCTTTTTTTTAAATGTACAAACAATATTTTGACACAAAAAAAAATGGCACAGCGAAACATTTGTCTGTACTCTATGGAAAATTTGTTTTAGTATACTTTCTTTGAACACTGGATAACAGTCGCCGCACCGAAACCGATGCTAGCCATTCTCGGCACTAAAGCTCGCCTAGAGATTGCCACGACTGTAAAAGAAGACATGAAGGTGTGAACAGCACAAGCCATTACAGCTATCCATTGTGTCTCACATAGCTTTGGCTGTCTTCCCATTACAGCTGTTTGAGACCGCGTCCCTTTTCGGTGCATATGCAGAATAGCAAGCAACCGCTGTGCAAAATAGTTAAATGAAAACGTGATAAATTTACATGTCAAACATGTTTCCTTGAAGCCGGCACATTTGGGAGATTAAAGCTGTATGATTTACAGTTTTTGTAAAGTGCTTCCTGACCTTTTGAAATATTTGTCTTGTGCGTTATTGGACCCACGGCATCGTCCCGACATGTTAGCCGCGCTGTCATAAACTTCATGTCAGATGTTTAAAATATTGGCCAATGCTATTTATCATTTCAATGTTTTGTAGTACTCGGTCCCAGTAAGCTACTGGCTACTTCCAGGGACTCTGGGACTTTTGGTTGTCAAAAGAAACTGTTAAAACATAATTGACTAATGTGATCTTGATTATCAACCAAACGTGTTAGCACTCACTCCATATCAGCACTGGAAACATATCAGCACATAACTGCAGGCCTTTTGGTTCTCCTTCAGAAGCAGTTTGAATTTATTAAGAGATTTGATTCTTGCGACCAAATATTGCAGCATGGACTCCATGTTAGCAAACAAGGAGCAGTATGTTTTGACTGTAAGCCTTTTCGTTCTTCAGACCACAGCAATCTTGAATATCTCTAATGACCATATTCTTTTGAAAACTTTGTAACTTTGCAAGCTACAGGCTATACTTATCATGATTCTAGGCCTGTTATTTCTTCAGAAACACCTCTTTGAGTATTTAAACACATCTGACCTTTGCAGCATACCATGCCAGTAAGTTACTGGCCAAATACCATTTCTTTTAGCCCTTTGGATTCTCAGAAAAATATGCTCAACTGGCCCTTTTTGCCAGGTAAACTAACAAATTGAGGGCCTGAAACACCACCCTTCACTGGATCCATCTAAGAGATGGATATCAATCAGATTTGGTTAGAAGCATTCTTATGTGGTACAGATTCAAAATTGTACTAATGGAAGGACCAAGGCGTTGGACAATTGGGCCATATTGCTCTTAGTGATTTTTTTCTTGAACAATGAGATGGATATCAACCATCTTTTGTTGGAAAAATTCTTTTTTTTTTCAAATATTTTATTTCCTCGGCAAGTGTTTACGGAGGAAGCCAGGGTTGAGGAGCCCTGGGATCTTCCCCCTTTACAATGTATTGTCCTCTCATAGGAGGGTTTTCGTTCAACATTCATCTTTCTGTCACTTTCTTTCATCATATTTCATAAATTTAGTAAATTTAGTTGAGATACTAAAACATTTGAACCTAACATAAAGGACGAACACTTACTTACACACTACATGTACATATAATAACATGTATACAAACAATTCTTAGGTGGCGGGGATTAAAATTTGTATCAATTGCATGACTGGCTCCTGTGCTGAGGGGTGAAACCAAAAAGAGTTTGGTTAATGTTAGATCCCGCCCTATGACCATATATACGATTGGCGAGTATATTGACATGAATACAAATATACTACAGAGAAGGCCCCACCCCTGGAGATGCCAAACCCCTTGTGACTTAGTTCCTGTGTCATACAATTGCTGGGCATAAAGCGACAAACACAATGGTGATATCAGAGTTGATCCTTGATTCTTGCCACACCCTAACAGACTTAGTTCCTGGGGTCACACTAAGAAGCAGTGGAGATTTCCACCCTCAACAATAAATACAGTTGCTGAGCATATAGACACAAATACACAGAGCTACCAGATTGGCCCCATACTTGGTGACTTAGCACTGTGTTTTAACTCCGATATGGTTGAGATTCCCATCACATGTTTTAACCATATACAATATGCAACTGTGTGGCATGAAAATTCTAAAACAGATAAGGTACCAGGATTGGACTTGGGATTTGCCCCACCCAACTTAGTCATACAAAAAGTCATGTACCACAGAAATGGTTGAGATCCACACCTTTAAAGCGGATATAAAATTGCTGGGCATGAAGAGACAAACACAATCGTGCTTCCAGATTACGCCTTGGATCATTAACCGGCTCATTAACATCTGAGATCCCCCCCCCCNCAGCATTAAGATTTGGACACACTGGGGATGGCTCCAGGGTCTGCCCGATCGATGGGATCCTATTTGCAACATTACTTTTCATGAGAATGTTTTGCAATTATTGCTTAAATATCAAGGTAAGGGATACTGGCACTCTTTCCCTCTTGTTGATAATATCCTCAAGTCCAACATCAGCCTTACTCACACCCGTGCTCATAAACAATTAATTTTAGAAAATCTCGTATTTATTTGTAGTAAAATGAAATCCATATTCTTTCAATATGATGATATTATTTATTAATGCTTATTGAAAAATATTTTGCTTAGAAATTCCCTTCTAAATCTTTGTTTTCAATTAGTATTTCTATCTCCAATTTGTACAAAATATGACAGAACATTTTTTGTGATTTTTTTGCTATTTTAATATGACATGATAAATAACAATTTGTATTTAAATGTTTACATGTCAGGACATACTTAGTAAACAACAACAAGACAAAATTTACTTACATGATAATATGCCACCTAATCATCTATTGTTAAAAAAAAAATCAACAGTAGATGCGATGAACAATAAGAATATTTTTCAGATCGAGGGGAGGTAACTCCTATTATTTAAACTACTAAAACTACATACTTTGGACAAAATTCATTTGTAATTTGGAAACCAGTCCAGCATGCATCATTGACAGACATTTAGCACTATGTCCTGTAGACATACAATTGACATTAATCATGAGAAATTTCCAGTCTTGAAAGCATACATATACCCAATTGTTTTTTTTAACTTTGTTAACTTAAAATTTCTCAGTTATCAAAGACTTAAATGTTTGAAATACCAGTAAATCAATTGCTTAAACACATTATCAGGATTGCACATGTGGATGCTATTTCATAAATAAAAACAACTTATTAATATCCAAAGACTATATATATAGCTTTTATACCAAATGAGTAAGCAATGTTATGTATTAACGTAGAAGGTGTTCTGCAGATACTGCATACGGAAATTTTTCGCCAAGTCAAACTTTAGCCCATGATATCAATTTTCACTTGATGTTAATTTTGCCCTCCACATCAAATTACTATGTTTATAATACTATTTACTTATATTCGCTATAATGATAAATTCGCCATCATTGAGGAGGGTGAAAAAGGCAATAATTAAACTGCAGCGAAAATTTCCCTGTATACAGTATTTTGTTGCATTTAAATAAGCCCAATAACAAAGCCACAATAAAGTCAATTCTAAAAGCCATTAAGCTCTTTCAAATGCACCAATAAGCTGAAATCAATAGTTTTTTCTTTGACCAAAATATTATCCAAAAAATGGAAGTAATATTTCAGAGTATAAATAAAAAAGTTGGTTGGTTAACTTGACCGTAATGATCCAGTGCGGAGGTTGTTGCCTTGTGAATGTTCCTCTGTATGGAAAACTTTCAAGCGATTGAGTTGTTTTCACATTGAAGTGGTTGCCTTGGTTTCTAAATCTTCTGCTATTTGACAAACTTTGTGGTGACCCAGCTTTTAAGCTTAAAGGTTTGTTGCTGGAGTGTAAACTTTCAACTGGTTGACAGTTAATACCTCCAGGTCTGGGTTAACAAACTTTCTGGTGACCCAGCTGTTCTAGTTTGGAGGTTATCACCTCCAGGTCTGGATTAACAAACTTTCTGGTGACCCAGCTGTTTTAGTTTGGAGGTTATCACCTCCAGGCCTGGGTTAACAAACTTTCTGGTGACCTAGCTGTTCTAGTTTGGAGGTTAATACCTCCAGGTCTGCAAGCATCTTGAAGTGTCCAATATCCACCACAAACACAGGAAAGTGCAGCAACTAGGCCAATAGACGACCTATAGAACATTGCAGTTTTCTCCCACCTTACACTTGGTATAGCTTCTAAGTTTTGCCAAATCTCATCATGTAGAGGTCAAAGTTCAATGTACACAGGGACAGAGGAAGTCTAGGCATCTGATAGGGCAGCAACACCTGGTAGGTTTTTACCTGGAAGACAAGAAGTGTATTTATCAGATCACCCTTTCAAGGTACAAACATTTTCTTTCACAGAAAAACAATGAATCATTTGTATAATAAATATATAAATATATTAGTGAAACCTGTCTAATCTGTCTCAAAATTAATATACAGAGTGTAACCTGTCTATCTGACCAAAAGATCAATATACATAGTGTAACCTGTCTAATCTGACCCAAAGGTCAATATACAGAGTGTAACCTGTCTTATCTGACCCAAAGATGAATATACAGAATATAACCTGTCTTATCTGACCCCGAGTATTCATAATGTCATGTTACACACAGCTGTAATCTGATTTTCCATTTTCTTATTTTAAATGGCTTTTCTTTTCACAAACTTCCTGTCAGAAAGCTACTGGCTAAATATTATAAAGTAGGCTTTTTTTGGTTCTTTAGATGTCAATTGGATATTCTAACAAATTTGACCCCTGTGACCTTGAATATGGGATAAAGTTACAGTTCTCTTAGCCAGCAAACTACCGGCCCTATATGATTTGTCCCTTTTTGTCCCCCATTCTCCTTTGCAAATCTGAAGCATCATCCCCTAGGGATATTTCCTACCAAATTTGGTTTTAATTGACCATGTGGTTTTTGAGAAGAAGATATTCATAGATAAGTATAAGTAAAATAAATAGATATATATTGTGTATTTAAGAAATAATCAACATAAGTATGTGTAATAGTGTGGAATATGTAACCAGGGTGAGAAAATGTTGGGAACAAATACTTAATTTATCATGTGATACCTTTATGTCGTAATTCCTAACAAGCTGCACGTTTTTATTATTTCTGACCTTGTGGGCAGTTGTCTTATTTTCTCTATTTAACCTGGATATACTAAGCAAGCATTTTTTTTCATTTTCAGTTGCCATTTGGTTGACAGACAGACCATTAACAATAATCACTGACGTCATGCGCTATGCCAGATGTTTATTTCAATCAATCAAAACCACCAATCTATTGACATCGCGCGCCAACACATAAAATCAGTATTTGACAGATTTTCAGACACTATTTCAAGTCATCATCGTGGTAAGTTAGGCAGACCATTTTGATCGTCAACTCAACAGTGTTTAAAGTATACCTAGAGGTTATATAGAAACCTTTTTTTGTTGATATGCTATCAAGTCAAAATTAAATACGTTGCCCTGGTTCAATAAAGGAAACCAGTCCTACGGTTCACTTGTTTACATGTGCAGGGGAGGTTTCTGGAAGAGTGTTAGTCTGTTGGAAAATAATACATGTATGCACACTGTCTATCGTCCAATAGTCCATGGTTATTGACCAATGAAAAGTGTTGTTACATCGAAGAAGACGTAGAAATCTGGATAATCTACAATTCATACTACGTTTTCCACCCTTCTTTGACCTCTAGATACCTAAACCATTTGTATTAATATTAGATTTCATTCATTTGACCTATAGATGACCTACCTTCCAACAGTTCGAGACTGGCTCCACCTCCAGTGCTGACGTGGCTGACCTTGGCCTCCGTACCGTACTTGGCTGCACATGTAGCTGTGTCGCCACCACCTGTTATGGCAAGATTCAAATTTTAAAACAAAAAAATATAAAAAATAAATATTACAAGCATTATGTTTTGTTTTCTCTTTCACCTTTTTACATTGTGCGTAGCCAATACTTTAAAATTATGACTGACAACTCATTATTGGGGTTTGAACTTTCAATATGCATCCTTCCAAACCCGATTGGTTGACATTTCAATCCTACCACTGGGTGTAAAGCAGGCTCCAGACAAGATTGAATTTGAAATCATTTACACATTGTGTTCCTGAATAATTAAAACAAGAGGCTCATGGGCCTTAACGGTCACCTGATATATTTATACAGAGAGTTGATGTGGTTTTTAACATGAACAGAAATATTATTCAAAGTGACAAAAAACAATAAAACCACCTTATTCAATATCTAGCATACAGATTTAAGACTAAAAAGTATTTGAAACTAGCACCTCCGATTCTAAACAAGGAAAATGAAGAAATTTTAGCACACTGACTCTTTTGGGCCCAACCCTACAGCCCTTGGGGTAGGGCTGGCTCAAAAATTTCAAAGTATCAAACTGTCAACTCAGGGTTATAATTCCAATCAAGTTATTAACATGTAATATTCAAAATATCATTTGCCATTATAAACCCTAATAAATTTTTCCCCCCCCCCCCCCCCTCCTTCCCAAGAGGGTAAACGTGAGACCCAAGGGTCATAAACCTTAAGACCCTTCCATCTATGAAGAGTGTTTGATTCTACCATATGTGGGTCTTGAGGAGAAGATTTTTTGAAATTTCAGTCAATTCAACCCTTTTTGGCCCCACCCATCAGCCCCTGGGGGTCAGTTAGGGCTCATATGTGCAGACTATCAAACTGCTACTTAATTCTGATAATACTAACCTAAATTGAATTACTTCCATTGGAAATTAAACAAATGTTGGTCCAAAATGTGATTTCCCTATATAAACTATAGTAAAGTTTATCCCCTCCCCAGGGGGAAACGTGAGACCCCAGGGTCAAGAAATTCACGATTTTGGTAAAGCACCTTAAGACCCTTCCATCTATGAAGAGAATTTGATTCAAACATATCTGGGTCTTGAGAAGAATTCTTTTGAAATTTTAGTCCATTTGACCCTTTTTGGCCCCGCCCCTCAGGCCCCTGTTTACGGACGGACGACGGATGCCGCCGGACAAAAGGCGATCGCAATAGGTCACTTGAGACGTTGAGCGGACCATATTGGAGATATGTAGGTGTAACTCACCAATGATGGTTGTGGCCCCACTTGTTGTTACCTTCACCACCGCGTCCATAACAGCTTTTGTCCCGGCAGCGAAGTTAGGGAACTCAAACACACCTGGGGGACTGTAACAGACAGGTGTGACTTCAGATATATTTAAATACTGTATACATTGTACCAGGAAACTTTCATCAGGTCAAATATTCACCCATTGCTGATAAAATCCATGTTTGCCTAATGTTAGTTTTGCCATTCACATGTAATTACTATATACTGTATGCTGTTTACTACTGTAATTACTATATACTGTATGCTGTTTACTACTGTAATTTTTATATACTACCGGAGCGCACTTCAAACTGATATTTTAGAAGAAAATCGTCACTTTCACACACATGTCGCACATGGATCGAACGATCTAATCTTTATGCACAAGATGAACATACATAACATGCCTCAAACAACCAATACAATCACTAAAAACATATTTTTTCTAACTTACTCTGTTTTACTCTAGTTTTTTGATAGCCCCGCCTTCTAATGCCACGTGACTAAAACCTCGCCGGCCTACGTCATAACGTTGGGAAATACCTTCGGTAACGCGAGATCTCGTCAAGTCATGTGACATTGCTCATGGCCTAATTTCCATTAAAAACATGGGTTGGTATAGAAAACGTTAGAAAATACTTTTCGTAATGATCTTTGAAACATGTTATTGATACCACCTAGTGCATAAAGAATAGATCTTTAGATCCATGTGCGACATGTGTGTGAAAGTGACGATTTGTTTCTAAAATATCAGTTTGAAGTGCGCTCCGGGCGCGGGTCGCATATTTCCCGCATATTATAGAGGGCCTGAGTTCTGACGTTAATCGACGACAGACCGATATGAAAAAGTCGATAAAACGTCAGAATAATTCGGACTACCCAACCAAATACTCATTTACAGCTGAGTAGACTGGAAAATGCGGGGTAAAGAATCTTGTTCAAGGATACGACACGGTGCCATTCCGTGCCGTGACTTGAACCCGCAACCCTTCGGTCACCTATAAGCTTTGTAGCTTATCACTTAAATACAGACAGGTGTAACAGCATTAAATTGTTACCAGAAGAGAAAAGTATTACTTCATTCATTGCAAAATAAAATGTTCCAGCTGCACAGAAACATAGAGAAATTATTTTTCATTTTTTTTTCTTCATTTTTCACCTTACCCGTTCCAGACGATAGTTTTAGCTCTTCCTATAACTTCAGTGAAATCTTTAGACGACTTTTCTCCTATGTCCAGCCCCTGTAACAATAAAAGATAAAGATATTTATATAAAAAAAACTCTGGTTATAAAACCTATTTAATATGCTTCATCTACACATTTCTTGCCAAAAACTCCATTTCATTGCTTTAGTTATTTCTTTTACTCCCTCCTCAAATTTAGAAGATATATATATATACCCTTTCTTTATTTATTTGCTGGTCTCGGCTACTCAATTTCCAGTATTTCTGAGTGAAAGAAGCAATCTTTTTCATGACTCTCCAACATGTGTGAATTTTTTAAACAAATTTATATGCTATGAAAATTTCGGACCAACCCACTTGCAGTAATAAATATGATACTCTGACAAAAAATTATTTTGATATATCAATTTGAGGCAGAGCCCCAGGGAGAAAGAAATTAGGAAGCTCTGTTATATTAGTATAACTTTTAGAATATCTTAAAAGAATAACCAAATCTAAGCATGGGAAACTTTTGTTGTTGTAAAAAAATAATAGATATTTAGTTTAAATATGTTTTTTTCCTACTGAAATTTACAACATCCTGTTTTTACATGAATTGGGAAAATATAGCAAAGTTTTATTTGAAGTTGGGATGAAATTCATCAGTTTTTCTTCATTTTGGAAAAATAAAGCACTTATTGCTGGGGGAAGCAGCCAGTACTCGGCTGCCCAACTGCTGTGTACAGGAAGGAAACACCAACTCTGCACAATGCTATGAAGACTACCATATGTCCTGAAGGGATTCCAGTGTCGACAGTAGCCTGACCAATGGCTGCATCCTCTGCAAACTTGTCGCCCGTCACAAAGTCTACGGGGAGGTGGATCTTCACACCTTTGGCCGCCGCCTTATCCATCAGCTTCTGGATAATCTTAGATCCCTCATCATCAAACAGAGAGTTCCCAATCTGTAACGTAAAATCACAATCAAACAGAGAGTTCCCAATCTGTAACGTAAAATCACAATCATACAGAAAGTTCCCAATCTGTAATGTAAAATCACAATCATACAGAGAGTTCCCAATCTGTAACGTAAAATCACAATCATACAGAAAGTTCCCAATCTGTAACGTAAAATCACAATCATACAGAAAGTTCCCAATCTGTAACGTAAAATCACAATCATACAGAAAGTTCCCAATCTGTAACGTAAAATCACAATCATACAGAAAGTTCCCAATCTGTAACGTAAAATCACAATCATACAGAAAGTTCCCAATCTGTAACGTAAAATCACAATCATACAGAAAGTTCCCAATCTGTAACGTAAAATCACAATCATACAGAAAGTTCCCAATCTGTAACGTAAAATCACAATCATACAGAAAGTTCCCAATCTGTAACGTAAAATCACAATCATACAGAAAGTTCCCAATCTGTAACGTAAAATCACAATCATACAGAAAGTTCCCAATCTGTAACGTAAAATCACAATCATACAGAAAGTTCCCAATCTGTAACGTAAAATCACAATCATACAGAAAGTTCCCAATCTGTAACGTAAAATCACAATCATACAGAAAGTTCCCAATCTGTAACGTAAAATCACAATCATACAGAAAGTTCCCAATCTGTAACGTAAAATCACAATCATACAGAAAGTTCCCAATCTGTAACGTAAAATCACAATCATACAGAAAGTTCCCAATCTGTAACGTAAAATCACAATCATACAGAAAGTTCCCAATCTGTAACGTAAAATCACAATCATACAGAAAGTTCCCAATCTGTAACGTAAAATCACAATCATACAGAAAGTTCCCAATCTGTAACGTAAAATCACAATCATACAGAAAGTTCCCAATCTGTAACGTAAAATCACAATCATACAGAAAGTTCCCAATCTGTAACGTAAAATCACAATCATACAGAAAGTTCCCAATCTGTAACGTAAAATCACAATCATACAGAAAGTTCCCAATCTGTAACGTAAAATCACAATCATACAGAAAGTTCCCAATCTGTAACGTAAAATCACAATCATACAGAAAGTTCCCAATCTGTAACGTAAAATCACAATCATACAGAAAGTTCCCAATCTGTAACGTAAAATCACAATCATACAGAAAGTTCCCAATCTGTAACGTAAAATCACAATCATACAGAAAGTTCCCAATCTGTAACGTAAAATCACAATCATACAGAAAGTTCCCAATCTGTAACGTAAAATCACAATCATACAGAAAGTTCCCAATCTGTAACGTAAAATCACAATCATACAGAAAGTTCCCAATCTGTAACGTAAAATCACAATCATACAGAAAGTTCCCAATCTGTAACGTAAAATCACAATCATACAGAAAGTTCCCAATCTGTAACGTAAAATCACAATCATACAGAAAGTTCCCAATCTGTAACGTAAAATCACAATCATACAGAAAGTTCCCAATCTGTAACGTAAAATCACAATCATACAGAAAGTTCCCAATCTGTAACGTAAAATCACAATCATACAGAAAGTTCCCAATCTGTAACGTAAAATCACAATCATACAGAAAGTTCCCAATCTGTAACGTAAAATCACAATCATACAGAAAGTTCCCAATCTGTAACGTAAAATCACAATCATACAGAAAGTTCCCAATCTGTAACGTAAAATCACAATCATACAGAAAGTTCCCAATCTGTAACGTAAAATCACAATCATACAGAAAGTTCCCAATCTGTAACGTAAAATCACAATCATACAGAAAGTTCCCAATCTGTAACGTAAAATCACAATCATACAGAAAGTTCCCAATCTGTAACGTAAAATCACAATCATACAGAAAGTTCCCAATCTGTAACGTAAAATCACAATCATACAGAAAGTTCCCAATCTGTAACGTAAAATCACAATCATACAGAAAGTTCCCAATCTGTAACGTAAAATCACAATCATACAGAAAGTTCCCAATCTGTAACGTAAAATCACAATCATACAGAAAGTTCCCAATCTGTAACGTAAAATCACAATCATACAGAAAGTTCCCAATCTGTAACGTAAAATCACAATCATACAGAAAGTTCCCAATCTGTAACGTAAAATCACAATCATACAGAAAGTTCCCAATCTGTAACGTAAAATCACAATCATACAGAAAGTTCCCAATCTGTAACGTAAAATCACAATCATACAGAAAGTTCCCAATCTGTAACGTAAAATCACAATCATACAGAAAGTTCCCAATCTGTAACGTAAAATCACAATCATACAGAAAGTTCCCAATCTGTAACGTAAAATCACAATCATACAGAAAGTTCCCAATCTGTAACGTAAAATCACAATCATACAGAAAGTTCCCAATCTGTAACGTAAAATCACAATCATACAGAAAGTTCCCAATCTGTAACGTAAAATCACAATCATACAGAAAGTTCCCAATCTGTAACGTAAAATCACAATCATACAGAAAGTTCCCAATCTGTAACGTAAAATCACAATCATACAGAAAGTTCCCAATCTGTAACGTAAAATCACAATCATACAGAAAGTTCCCAATCTGTAACGTAAAATCACAATCATACAGAAAGTTCCCAATCTGTAACGTAAAATCACAATCATACAGAGAGTTCCCAATCTGTAACGTAAAATCACAATCATACAGAAAGTTCCCAATCTGTAACATAAAATCACAATCATACAGAAAGTTCCCAATCTGTAACATAAAATCACAATCATACAGAAAGTTCCCAATCTGTAACGTAAAATCACAATCATACAGAGAGTTCCCAATCTGTAACGTAAAATCACAATCATACAGAAAGTTCCCAATCTGTCACATAAAATCACATTCATACAGAGAGTTCCCAACCTGTAACGTAAAATCACAATCATACCGAGAGTTCCCAATCTGCAACGCAAACAAAAACAATCATTATATAGTCGAACTTCGATGTTTCGAACTTTGCTGGACTATCTGGAAAAATTTGAAAAATTTGGACTTCGACTCACGAATATAAAACATCAAGATCCTGTAAAATGTTGAGGAGGCACGGTAATCTAGTGGTAGGACACGGGGCTCATGACCGAAGGGTAGGGAGTTCGAGTCACGGCACGGCACGGCACTGTGATGTACCTTTGAGCAAGATACTTTACCCTGCTTGTTCCAGTCTACTCAGCTGTAAATGAGCACGCGGTTGGGGAGTGCTAGAAATGTAGAATGATAGCTGTGAGCACCGAAATGGCAGCACCGGCTGTATGCTCCCCAGGGAGTTGAGAAAGATATTGGCTGGTTGCAAAGGCCCTATAACCACGGATAATAATTTGTGAACCACTTTGAGACGCCCTACCAACTAGGTTGTGATAAAGCGGTATATAAGAACCTCAAATCATTATTATTATTAAAAAAGACAGAAAGAGATTTTTTAAATATGTGATGAAACGCAGGCAAATACATTTAATTTTAAATATGAATATTGGATTTCTTATAAAATTCAACATTTCTTTGTCAATAAAATTTCTGAAGCCTATGCTATTAAAATAACCAGTGGACTATTTCACTTGGATTAATTAGTTGTAACTGTCAATGTTTTTATAACGAATGAGCCTTGATTAGTGACTATACTTTGAAGCAGCGTGAAATTTGAATTATAAAAAAATTGATTCAAAAAAGAATATTCGTAGTGGTATGTAAATGAAAAATTCTTGACTTTGCCATTAGTTCGACACATCGAGAAGTTCACCAAATCATTAATTTTTTAAATAATCACTTTTGTGTCATACATTTTCTATGGAAATATCTTTAATATTAATTTTTAATTAAAAGAAATAGTACATATATCTCAAATATTGTAGGTATCAAAGGTACTTTTTCATTTTTTGTTTGACGAGATTCAAACTTTGGTTTGTATGATTTGAGTCTCACCTCCATGTTTTTGAGGACCTTGAGGAAGGTGAAGGCCATACCACCACCCACAATCATCTCATTGACCTTGTCCAACATATTCTCAATCAGCTGGAGCTTGTCTGCCACCTTTGCCCTTTAACAACATTTGTCAATTTTTAATCATTCCGACCTATCATAAAACTAAAATCACTCCGACCTATCATATAACTTAAATCACTCCGACCTATCATATAACTAAAATCACTCCGACCTATCATATAACTAAAATCATTTCGACGTATCATCCAACTAAAATCACTCTGACCTATCATACAACTAAAATCACTCTGACCTATCATACAACTAAAATAACTCTGACCTATCATACAACTAAAATCACTCTGACCTATCATACAACTAAAATCACACCGACCTATCATACAACTTTAATCACTGCGACCTATCATACAACTAAAATCTCACCGATCTATCATCCAACTAAAATCACTCTGACCTATCATACAACTAAAATCACACCGACCTATCATACAACTTAAATCACTCTGACCTATTATCCAACTAAAATCACTCTGACCTATTATCCAACTAAAATCACTCCAACCTATCATACAACTAAAATCACTGCAACTTATCATTCGACTTAAATCACTCCGACCTATCATACAACTTAAATCACTCCGACCTATCATAATTTAAATCACCATATCATGAAATTTACACAACCATACAACTATTCATTCTGCCTATCATACACAAACACAATTTTTCAACTTCAACTATCATTCAATCCATGTTTCCATTCAACCTACCTTACAGCCTTAACATTCGTTCAACCGATCATACAACATACACCATTGTTCAACATACAACATCGTAAAGTCTAAACTATCATTTAATCTACATCACCAGTCTTATAGCCAAAATCATCATTCATACTCATAATATTTAGCACATTTCAACTTCACTAAAACCTTAACAAGCATTCAACAAATATCTTCATTCAACTACATTAAACCATTGCTAATTTTGGTTTCCAGATATGAATACATTTATATTGTTTTAATAATCATTAAATAGCAATAAATAAATCCTTAAGTTCCAACATCCAATCAAACTTACGTTGGTGCCTTTCTTTGAACACATGAAAACTGAAAATCATACCCTCACTGGGCTTTCCCTTAAACAGAAAATTCACCTCTATAGATGCTGTGTTAAAAAAATCTGCGGAACTTGATATTCTGTTAAAGTCTGGTATTTTGTACTTAAAACAGGTCCTTACCCTCCAAGAATGGCCAGGAAAGGTCTTTCAGGATTGTCCAGTGCCTTGGAGAAATAGGTGAGCTCTTTTGCAAGGAGAAATCCTGAAGCTCTCTTTGACAGCTGGCAACCTACCATAGAACTGCAATAGAATTTCAAAACTATCATCACCAAGCAATCATTAACATCGCTCATCTGCGGAGCCTACAAGTAGCCATTTACAGCAAACATGGACTTTCAATACTGAGTAAGAACTTATTGTTACCAAGACTTTGTCCATTGTATATCTCAGTAACTGTATTGTGGTTATCATGTGATGAAGACAATTTTGATGACGTCATAAAATTCAACTTAACAGAATCCTAGGTGTTGATGCTTCAATAGTCATCTACTTGCATTAAATATCTTGTTAAACAGATTTCATAAGAATTACCTGTGTGCTCTATGGGCAGTGCCGAAAGCATCGTTTACATAAATATCTCCGAGTTTAGACAGTGAGGCCCTAAATGCATCGACAGCCTCCTTTCCAGCCTTCACCTGTAATACCGTATATTAAAATTTCACCTGTAATACATTGCATTAAGATTTCACCTGTAATATAGTATATTAAAATTTTACCTGTAATACATTGCATTAAGATTTCACCTGTAATACAGTATATTAAGATTTCACCTGTAATACAGTATATTAAAATTTCACTTGTAACACAGTATATTAAAATTTCACCAGTAATACATTGCATTAAAATTTCACCTGTAATACAGTATATTAAGATTTCACCTGTAATACATTGCATTAAAATTTCACCTGTAATACATTGCATTAAGATTTCACCTGTTAAACAATACATTAAGATTTCAACTGTGATACAATATATATTAAGATTTCCCCTGTAATAAAATACATTTACATTTCACCTGTAGTACAATACATTCTGATTTCACCTGTAATACAATACATTCAGATTTCAGCAACTAGTTCAAAACAAGAGGCCCAGGGGCCTTAATAGCTCACCTGGTATTTTATTTTTCAATTTAAAACCTGCTGAGTACCATTCAGGTTTATCAAAGGAGTACAAGTAACAAAGTTGCATCTTCCATTTATAAATATTCAATTCCCTTTGCCCAAAGATTCTCTAAAACAAGTTTGGTTAGGTTAAAATCCCTTCAACGGTACAGAAGGAGAAGGATCTTTAATGTTTTCCTCTATTTCCCCTAATGGGCCCCACTAATCTGCCCCAAAGAAGGGGAATCCACACACCTCAGTTTAAACAAAATTGATTCTTTTCTCCCTAAGCATGCTTCAGACTGCATTTGGTTTAAATCCCTTCACTTGTATAGTAGGAGAAAAAAAATCCTCTATTTCCCCTATTGGGCCCCGCTCCTATGCCGCCAGAAGGCCCACACCCTCCGTTTATACAAACTTGAGTCTCCTTTGTCCAAAGATGCTCTAGGACAAATTTGGTCAAAATCCTTCAATTGGTTGAGGAGAAGATTTTTAAAGATTTACCTATTTTCCCCTATTTGGCCCCGTCCCTCTGCCCCCAGGGGGACCATACCCTCCGTTCATACAAAACTGAGAACCCTTTGGCCAATGATGCTCCAGACCAAATTTGGTCAAAATCCCTTCATCGGTACAAAAGGAGAAGGATATTTGATGTTTTCCTCTATTTCCCCTAATGGGCCCCACCCATCTGCCCTTAGAAGGAGGCCCACACACCTCAGTTTATACAAAATTGATTCTTTTGTCCCTAATCATGCTTCAGACTGCATTTGGTTAAAATCCCTTCACTTGTATAGCAGGAGAAAAAAAATCCTCTATTTCCCCTATTGGGCCCCGCCCCTCCGCCCCCAGAGGGGCCACACCCTCCGTTTATACAAACTTGAGTCTTCTTTGTCCAAAGATGCTCTAGGACAAATTTGGTCAAAATCCTTCAATTGGTTGAGAAGAAGAACATTTTTAAAGATTTACCTTTTTTCCCCTTATTTAGCCCCGCCCCTCTGCCCCGAGGGGGGGCTATACCGTCCGTTTATACAAAACTGAGAACCCTTTGGCCAATGATGCTCCTGACCAAGCTTCAGACTGCATTTGGTTTAAATCCCTTCACTTGTATAGTAGGAGAGAAAAAATCCTCTACTTCCCCTATTTGGCCCCGCCCCTCTGCCCCCAAAGAGGCCACACCCTCCGTTTATACAAACTTGAGTCTCCTTTGTCCAAAGATGCTCTAGGACAAATTTGGTCAAAATCCTTCTATTGGTTGAGAAGAAGAAGATTTTTAAAGATTTACCTATTTTCCCCTTATTTGGCCCCGCCCCTCTGCCCCCAGGGGGGTTATACCCTCCGTTTATACAAAACTGAGAACCCTTTGGCCAATGATGCTCCTGACCAAATTTGGTCAAAATCCTCTGAGCCATTCAGGACAAGTAGCATTTTAAAGGAAAAAGTTGACGGACGCCGGACGCCGAACGACGACGGACACTGCACCATGGGATAAGCTCACTTGGCCCTTTGGGCCAGGTGAGCTAATAAATAAATTATACAATGATAACATTTTTGAATTCATGAATTTAGGGTATATATATGATCGCCGTGGTAATTCCTTTCTACTTATTAAAGACAGCACAACGCTGATATACCTGAAAGTGTAATTGAAAAACTTGTCAGTGTTTTTGGTTACCATTCATGATCAACTTTTCAATGAATTAAGGTTCATATGATAACAACAAATCAATATTTAAACATTTTTGGCAACCTGGGGCTGAATCTGAGAAATTCTCATGATTTTTTCATCAGTAAACTGTGAATACAGGAACACATAAATAACAAAAACCACCGATAAAATCTCAAAATCAGGGAACACATAAATAGCAACAAGAGGCCCAAGGGCCTTAGCGGTCACCTGAGTTATATCATAGGTACTGGTAGCTTTATTTTATTGTTTAGATGTGATGTGGAAATCAGCATGTAAACTAAGTAAAATACAATACTTTTCATGTCATCAAAGGATAAGAATTTTAAAATATTGGTAAATGTTCCTTTTGGGGCCCCGCGCTAGCCCCTGGGGATCGGGCAGGAATCCTTATTTTACAATGTAATACCCTCATTCACCAAAGATGATTCTGACTACGTTTGAGTAATTTTCTGCTGAAAATGGATGAAATATACCCAAAAGTGTTATTTCCCTATATAAACTATAGTAAACTTTACCACCTCCCCAAGGGAGAACGGATAGCTCTGGGGTCCTGAAATTTACAATTTAAATAAAGCCCCAGATGATCATTCTTTTTATGCACTGAAATTGAATGTAGTACCTCTGAGTCTGGAAAAGAAGATTTTTGAAATATTGGTTAATTTTCCCTTTGGGGCCCTGCCCTGCCCTGGCCCCTGGGATTTGGGTAGGAATCGCAATTTTACAGTTTGAAACCATCTTCCTCCAACGATAAATCTCACCAAGTAAATATAATTTCCTACAGAAAGTTGTCAAAATATACCCAACCCAAAAGTGTTATTTCCCTATATAAACTATATTAAACTTAACCCCCTCCCCAAGGGAGAACGGATTGCTCGGGGGTCCTGAAATTTACAATTTAAATAAAGCCCACGATTATCTTTCTTTTCATGCAGAGAAAATTACTGTAGTACCTCTGAGTCTGGAGAAGAAGATTTTTGAAATATTGGTTAATTTTCCCTTTGGGGCCCTGCCCTGGCCCCAGGGGTTGGGGTAGGAATCCCAATCTTACAATTTGAAATTATCTTCCTCGTAGGATAATTCTCACCAAGTAAAAATAATTTCCTACAGAAAGTTGTAAAAATATACCCAAAAGTGTTATTTCCCTATATAAACTATAGTAAACTTAACCCCCTCCCCAAGGGAGAACGGATAGCTCGGGGGTCCTGAAATTTACAATTTTAATAAAGCCCCTGATGATCTTTCTTTCCATGCAGAGAAAATCACTGTAGTACCTCGGAGTCTGGAGAAGAAGATTTTTGAAATATTGGTTAATTTTCCCTTTGGGGCCCACCCTGGCCCCAGGGGTTGATGAGGGAATCCCAATTTTACAATTTTGTAGCCTCATCTACCAAGGATAATTCTGACCAAGTTTGAAAAAAATCCATCCACTGGTTCTTGAGAAGAAGTTGAAAATGTAAAAAGTTTACGCACGACGGACTACGAAACGGAAAGCGATTAGAATAGGTCACTTAAGCAAAGCTCAGGTGACCTAAAAATGGCCTATCTCATGTACCTTAGCACCTTCCTTATCCACGCCCTTGCCCTCTTCTTCCACATGGAATCGCAGATTCTCCAGTAGGATGACTGATCCTGGGGCAGGGTCTGCGCATGCGGCCTCCACGTCTGCACCGACACAATCCGACAAGAACTTGACATCCCTGTCAATGTAAACCAGTGAGGTAATTTAGAATTCAACTCAGATTTCCAGCAAAGCTGAAACAATCTATGAATAAGCAAAATGTCTAAAAAAAATATATAAATAAACTGGAAGCTTATTTTTTTATTAGTCCAGTATTTTGGTTTTTTCTGGAAAAATTATTTCTAATTCAGATTTATAAGATTCCACTATATAAGTTACTGTGGTTAGAGAGTTGATATTTTGAATTTGCATTGCAATTAAAGTAATTTGTTTACTATAGATTTTCTTCTGTTGGTCAAAACCTTCTGATATGGTGCTTGATGTCATGTCCATACCTGCCGAGTAGAGTTTTTAGCTGCTCTGCAACAGGAGCCAGTGAGTATTTTTCCTGGTGACGACCATCAGGACGTCCAAGATGACTCATCAAAACAACACTTTTAGCTCCCTTCTCCAAAGCATGTTTTACTGTAGGCAAAGCTGCTACAATTCTGATAAACACAACTACAAGTTGAGTATGGACATCAAAATGTGTTTTAAATGAACTAATAAAATAACATTTAGCACAAACTCTTCTTGGATATGATTCAAACACTTTAAGATAATCCAGGGTTCTCCCCGGGCCATTGTACTGAAGCTGGTTTTTAACTCAAGACAAAAATTCCTAAGACTAAGGTTAATTTTACAAAAAACTAAACGAGAGAAACTCTTCAATCGATTGGAAATGAAGAAAATTTTGAATCCATCTTATTATGATTGCTGTTTGAAAACCAAATTATTTATGTTTGAATATCTTTAAAGATGGTCAAGAATCTGCCATGTGATTTCCCCTTAATATTGCCATGATGAAATATGGTTTTACGCAACCAGTGAATAAACACTTCCGCTAAAACACTATTTCAAACACTGTCGAGAAACAATGAATATGCACACAACATAATAATACAGCTACAACAGGGTAACAGTACGGGTACTTAATGATACTGCCGTTAAGCCTAGAATTATCTGACGTCTGGCTGACACCTTCATAAACACAATGAGCATAGCAGACTCAAGATGTTTTTGACAATTATCAGCTTATATAAATACATATTTGCTTTGCATTTCTTTTACCTTTAACCTAGAGACGAATGTTCCGGTGACCTGAACTTGGTGCACTACACACCTTTTGTGGGTGATGCAGTCGGCATTGTTTAAGTTTCACAACAATATCATCTATGGTTCAAAATTTACAGTCCAGACAAGATTTTATTTAACTTCTGCATTTAATCGACTTTTAATCTGGAGGTGAAAGTCATTGTGTCCAAATTATAACGTACTGCGCACCTTGGTGCTCGGTTTGCAGAGTGGAGAGCGCACTCGCCTTTCACCAAGACAGCCGGGGATTGATTCCCCAATCGATCAGAAATGAAAAGGTTTGGAAACCAGAGTGTCCGACCATGTGGGGTTTTATCCAGGCACTCCGGTTTCTTCAGATATTTAGACCCCCTGTGTACTTCACCAGGCACTCTGGTTTCCTCAGATATTTATACCCCCCTGCGTGCTTACATCCAGGCCAACAAGAGAGCTTAATATAGGTTATAGTACTTGTTTCATGATTGTTATAAAATTAAAATTAAATTATACGGTGCACCTTATGTTGCTGATGCAACCATACCTAAGGTTTCATCAAAATATCTTCAACAGTTCGAAAGCTGTAGCTTGGACATTATTTAACTGATGATTTGACACTTATTTGACCTTTGACCTCAATAATGTTGCAGGAAAATTTGCAAGATTATGTTTTTATAGAAAAACAAGCACCCATACAATATCTCTCGAATAAGCGATAGCTCCTTTTGACCAATTATGTTGAACGCATATCAGTATCAATATGTACAAATAATTAACAGTAATATGCTTTTGAAAACCAAAGTAGAAAATATACACAATGTTATTCAAGTTTTATCAGAACTTACCTTTGAGTGTTAGTGATTTTCCCATCTTTCAAAGGAACATTGAAGTCAACTCTGAAAAATGTCAAATAGATACATTGATACTGGTGAAACACCTATTTATAAAATGTACAGACATCATTGTTACATTTCAAATCAGGACGCAATCGACTGTGCAGGGGTGTAAAATAAAATTTCAGAGTACTTGCCCCCCGCAAGTAGACCTTAGAAATCCACTTGCCAAAAAACATTTTCTCCTTGCCCCATGTAAAATGCATATTATATACATGTACAGACATAAAACATATTTTTCAAAATAATAGGATTTTTTATTTCTTTCCCTATTTGCAATTATTATAATACAAACTATTCACTATTTAATTGCAGTGATGGATGTATTCATTTTTCTTTTTTTTTCTAAAATTATTTACTTTTTAATATTCTTGATAATTGACAATTCAGATCCAGATTTTTCCGGTTATTAGTCACACTAATGCAAATTCCTGTTTTAAAACGCTTTTCAGGCCAAAATGATGTCCTTCTGTAGTTAACTAGTACTATAATCATTAAATAGGCAAGAAAATCCTGCATCTAATCCTATTCTATGTTTTAGCTAGAGTTTCAGTTATTTTCATCGGCCTTAAAGTCTTAAAACTTCTCTGAATTGAATTTTCTACCGGCAACTTTAGTGTTTTCCACTAAAATACAGCCAATTAAGTTAATTATTATTTGGGAAAACGGAGAAACACATGTAAAAACATGTGTTAATTACTATTCTAATGCACTAGCCACCTTTTGGGCACTTGCCCGAGCGCCAAAATTGGTTGTCCCAGGCGTTGGGCAATTGGATTTTTTCACCCCTGCTGTGGGTCCTTTAGTTAATGTGTCATTGTTTATACTACGATATTCGCAATAACATGGGCATTGACTTATCAGTGACGTCAAATGTAAGTTATGAAAGAAAAAGTTGTGCAATTTAACTGTTCTTGTCACGAAAGGACATTATGAAATATTCAGGTGTGGCTGGAGGTTACTTCATCTGCTTAACGGGAAGTCCGGCCATGATCACCCGACATAAACCCTTGCTTTAAATTTGAAGTGTATACATGTACTATGAATCTTTGACTATATGTAAAGGCCCAGTCAGTTCTGTGAGGTCTATAAAATTTCAATTTTTCCTGAAAAAGGGACAGAGGCTTTGGGCTCTTGTAGGGAAAGGGTGCTAATGACGGCAAATATGGTATGTATATAACAAAATATCATATATGAAATCCTCATGTTTTATAGAGCAACCATAACTGACCATAAACAGTCGACCGCTCATAATTTTGTAGACTGCAATTATGGTCATATTTAGTGGACTTCCTGATCACCAGCAGTCACCTGGCCCGGTACATGCAAATTATATATAATATATCGTCTAGTCATAGGTTTCCGTGCGTTATATATTTCCGCACAGCCATTTTATCAAGCTATATCTCATTACTACGTGACCACCTGGAGACTACACAAGGATATTTTAGACGTTGGACCATCGTCTGTAAACTAACACAAAAATTACCGGAAGTTTGTCTGGAAAACATAAGAATTAATCACTGATTAAAAAACACGCACAAATATGCAGTTTTGCTTAATACACTTTTTCTCTTGCTCAAAATGAACCCATACCTGATAAAACAGTGCTATATTTTATTCATGAACTGGTCTTTTTTGTAGTCTGACAAATGTACGAAAAAATCATATGCAAATGAAGCCACATCTCCTTGCAATTTTTTTTCCACTTTCAAAGGAGACATTTTAATATTATTATCGATAAACACTGTTTCAGTGAAACGTAAACCTTGTAATGCAATGAACTTTCAATTTTCACCAATTTTAAACAGAATAAAATGAGAAATAACTTACCATCAACGAACACCGATATAAGACTGCACAAAACATAAAAACAGATTCTATTATAACTAGATAAATTAAATAAATAAATTTATAAAATTACATGAATTCGTTCAAGTTGACATATATATTGAAAAACCAATAAAAAAAAATGTGATATTTAAAAAAAAGAAAATTGATAATTAATTTGACGATCAAAGATATATTTTTTTTATTCCAAACAAAGCTTTTGTTCGTGCAAGCCGCTGTGGAGAATTCCTTTTTATTGTATTCGAGTTATCTATCTTTGAACACTAAATCAAAATAGACACACGGAAACATATGAGAGCTAATTCCGACGGGAGATTTTGTTAAAAAATGTTTGTTCCAATTTTTTTTTAAATACAGTTTTATGTTGCTAGTTTTTTGTTTCTTTTTGTAGAAGGTGTACATGTCTATAACAGTCATCCGTAATTTCAATGGTTTTCTACCGATATGTGCTGCTTCTTAAGTGCGCAGAAACCGATAACACGTGGATACCTAGTGTTACCGCTGAACCTGACCAATCATGAGTTCGGTTTAAAGTAGGCACTAGTGGACTTAGTACTAATATTAATACCCGGCCTCCTCTGCCCCGGCCGGGTATTAAATCGATCCCATGCCTTGTAATGGAGCGAGCCCGGTGTGAATCACACCAGGGCGATTTTAGAATTAATTGACAGCACATTGGTCCGCATCCATAAACAAGGTTTTAGTATGAACTATTTCTGTTGATATCCTGCACAACTTTACCTCTGCCGAAAATGTCGTTAAATTATCAAGTTAACGTAGCAAGCGTAATCGAAATCTGAATTGACCGCCATGTTGGAAAGTTCGTCTCTCTTCCAATATGTGTCAGACGTCCAAATATGGGTATCATGACCCAATATGGAAATTGTAGCAAACATGGCGGCATCAGTAGTAATACTATATTTGGCCATGCAGGCCATATATAGAAAGGATAATTGAGATAACATCACGCGTTATCTGTCATGGCGGTCGTTTCTATTTTTTTTCCCAAGACGGACTTTGTTTATTTTGTAAAAGAGTTTTTACATGGGTAAGGATTCGATTTTTCAACAATTATGCAATATTTTGATAACATTATACTCATATGAGGCGTGAATTATATGCAATCTTACAGATTAACACTTTTGATTTTGCTCCATTAGTTGGCATAGGACCGCTTCCTAGCTCTGACGACGCAATATATAAAAAAAAATCTCTCGTCGTCAGAAAACTACGTTATCGCAGCTATAGTGGACTATACAGCAGTGCTCCAGATAGCTTGCGTGAATGCGTATTCACGCACGATAGTTCACAAATTACGCAAAAGAAAAAAATGAACTTGCTTAATTCACGCAAGCAAAATCCGGAACATTGCGTCAGTCTCTGGGACCAATTTAGCAAATTATAATACGCTTACAAGTGAGTCACTGAGACGCTTGCATAGTACTCCTGTTACAAACGCTTATATGAGCGAGAATTGAATCATGGCGCTTTTAAAACAATCGCTATTTGTCACTTGGTCTCATCTCTTTCGCTGCGTAGTAAATTGTCCTAAATACAGAATTAGCACAGTCATCTGTTTTACTCTCAGTATCTTCAACATCGTCGATGTCTTCCATTAATGTTGTGACCCGTTTCACGAAGCGTGTTTCTTTTTTTAATTGAAGTTTCTTTTGTGATACTTTCGATAGCGGACAAGTGATACTCTGATTGTTCATGTCGGGTAAGGGCACTTTTTTGAATATTCGAGCAGCCCTATGTGAAACGTTGTCCTTCTTGTGTTTGGAGCACGACGAACATTTCAAGTTCAACAAGGTTTGGCCATCCGTTTGACCAACAGTCTGGACCGTGACGTCAGCCACGGGAAATGTTTTTTCCATCCTCACCCTATTATGATATTTTCCGACCCCATTTTAAATAGATATGCGTCATTTTATTTCCATTTCACTGTGATTGTGTTCACAGTGAAATCGAAATAAAATACCACATGTCTAGACAACACAAAAATATGAATTTGAGTCATTCTTAACCCTATATTAAAAGTTTAACACATACAAATGATTCAACGTCTTTCAACATTTTCAGGTAACGTTGCTTTTAAAGCACTTCATCTTTCAAAATTTAAGTTTTCACCCCTCCACTTTGGAGAGGAAGGGGTAAAAAACCCTACATGTTCAAAAGTTATCTGGAGCACTGGTCACATATTTTCCTACAATCTCAATGGTTGGATCATAGGTAATCACGTGGAGGTTGCCGATTTGGGATATTGACTTGATGTTACTATTTTTAGAAAAACAGCAGGTTAATATTATTCAATTATAGCCTTTGGCTGAGGTCGATACCTGGATTTATCGACCCGAGAAAAGTTATATTGACAGAGGACGCAGNGCGGGTGAGGGGCAGGATATATTCTTGTCTGCAGTAAAACTAAAACTAAACTAGCACTTAAAAAACACTACATGTTTGGGTCTATGATCGTTTTGATTACTATCCAGTCCACACTCGTTTTTTTAATCCCGAGTCTGACTGGGGAAAGAAAACAATATAGATATCATATAAAGCGTGTTTCCCCGTGCAGAGCCCCATGTAGATGACATTCAAGCCGTCCTTGATGGAAGTCAAGGTCAGAAAGCCGAGTGCATCCTCAAAATATATCGTTTCCTCGTGCAAATAAATGTATTAATTAACGGATCACCACGTAAAATACGGAAATTATACAAACCGCATTAAAATCCTCTGATTCTTTAAATCCAAAGCATTGATTGGCAATTTGTTCAAAGCCATTGTTCTTCTTTTTCTTCACAAAAAATGAAATGCTTCGCTAAAAACAAAAATACTGCCGGCAGAGTATACCCTTTTCTCCTTCAAATGAAAACTTCTCCCAAGAACATTAACTCTGCATACAGAAAATGTTGTATGCGGTAAATTTAAAAATATCGAAAAACTAACAACAGATTATTTTTGCCGACAAATTAGACTTCGAAAACATGTCAGATGATACATTTTGTTTAACTTTATGCCACAAGACAAACCTACCTTTATATTTGTAGCAGATTCCAATTGTACAAAGGATAACGGTCGCCTTCTAGCTCCTAGGGAATTACCTTTAGCTCAGTGGTAGCAGAGACAATATATATAAGTCTCTGGGTCTGGTCAGTGTGTTTCCTGTGATAATTCGATCGTGTATTCATTAGTTCGTGTCAACATGTCACATATCCTAGACATATATGGCATGGATTAATATCTGCATACGTTTATGAAATTAAATAATGAACGAGAAAGGAGTGCCGGTGTCATGAAAGAAATAACCCTCACACATCAAAGTCGCCATTTCAACTTGTTTATTCTTAAAATCCTGTATTTTCAGAGCTAAATTATGTTTTTTTATAAGTATTGTGACAACCTTATTTTAAAAACCTGGTTAGAAATATGATCAAATAATTAATTTCTGAAGACTTTTTTGAAAATGTCTAAAGAACAAAAAAGTAGTTCCTGTTATAATACGTCTCTGCAGTGGTAGGAACCTTTGGATCGCAGGTTCGATCCGGTGGAAGCACACCACTTTCTTCCTGTTACCAGAGACGTATACTAGCTGTACATCACTGTTTTATAAATATAAAAAAACAATGAATCAAAGTAAACACGCGATCAAACACGCCATAAAAAGTGTATGTCCCATATAATCAAACACTGTGACTACAGGCGATATTTCATAACAACTCTTCGAATTCTTCCAAATATAATTGCAATAGAGCTCTGTGTCGGCCAAATACAGGATTTCATTTTACTGGAAAGTTTGTGATTAGAAGCGAATAAAAAGAAAATGAAAAAAAGACGTTTGACAGAAAGACATAAAGCCAAAGTTTGTAATGCTAAAAAATGTATTTTGCATTTATCGGATGAATCTATACATAACTATCATACATTTGTTATTATTTTCAACAGGTTCTTCACATTTCGTAAAACGATCGCGCTTTTAAGTGACCCATCTTTTTATCTTTGCGTGTTTTATTTACCTTGCATTGGCCCTAAGACCTCTTCTGTCTTGGTGGGCCGTTAATAACTCAATAACTAACATAACTCCCACATGGAAGACCCTAGAAGGCCGCTTAACGGTTGTCTCAATGTAGTTTGAGAATACGACATATATCGACAAACATGTCTATAGAAACATTACGGTTAAATTACATGATTGATCAACTTTCAAATGCGACGGAAAAAGTATTGCGTGAACTTTAATTTAGTCATGGTAAAGCACTTAATATACACATTTTTTAGCCAAAAAAGGATATCAGACGTCTTCATCTCAAACCCTCGATTTTTGTAGACAATTAACATCACGTGCTTTTAATTGATGACGCAAAGTAAAGTATGACGTCATAATTGGCTCCGACATTAGTAACGGAATAGGAGGACTTGCAGAGCCATGATTCCGGCAACACACGGACGGCAACAAACAGTCAACAACCGCATACCCAGTGATTCCGGGGCATGCCTCCCGTCGGTTACCCAATGTGGGGACACTGACGAGGACTTCCGGTCAAGGCGGTTTGGAACTCCGTTGGAGCCCTATACGAGAGACACCGCCTCTTACTGGAAGTATGAAAATGGTTGTTTCCGCGTCGATCGGAACCAGTTTGAGGATATTGAATTTTCATTCTCGCCTGAGAACCTCTTCACTTCAGATTCATGGCGCCAGCGAGAAGAACAAAAGAAGCAACAGGTACCTCTTGTCTTACCTGTACAAGAACCGGTGAGAGAGTTAAAAGTCAAAGGACGCAGTGTCGGCACAGACGCGGAACAAATTGATGACAGTATCGACAACGATAGAAGATCCAGAAATTCACAGCCCGGAAAATTATGTGGGATACAAAATTATTACAAGCTCGACCCTGCTGAATGTGATGTAGATTACGCTACCCTATGTATCAATGGACAAAGGGCTGTTGTAAATTCCAACACCAATGATGATAATGGAATGGGAATAGCGACATCCATCGTAGTAGAGGGAGAACAAAAGTTCTTGTTTTCGTTCGGTAAATGCGGGAGAGTTGCAGTGATGACTCCCATCACAGAAGTTCCCTCGCAGTGTGGGACCCCCTATAAAACTTTAGTGAGCCCTTCTTTGTCTGAGGAGACCCTTTCCCCCGCCAGCAGCATGTCGTACAAGTCTATATGGGACTGTCCCCTCAGGAAGAATGAGTACCTCGCGCGAGATCAGTATATGCACCAGTATGTCACTTCAAGAGGACATATACCATACGACTATGAAATATATTCTTCTTCAGAGAGAGGAGATAGCAACGTTTATGACAACAATGTTAGACTGAAGAAATGTGTATCAGAAGTAGCCCCAAAGGACCCTCTTGTGAACCAATTGGAACGTTTATCGGTGCTTCCGGAAAGGACTAGAGCGGCCTACAACTTGCCTCGAGTTCCGGTGTCGGAGTTCGGGGTTCCGGCTCTGTCGGTTTCCACGGCAACTATAACCAATAGGTACTGCATCAAGAAGATCATGGATAAGCCCCCCAATAAGTATGTCTATAAGTCACTTCCGCCATTATATCCGACAGCACACCTAGAAAAAGGCGCCAGTAATACTCGTCTGCCTATGTATCGCTCACAGAGCCTTAACGGGTTAAAATATAACACAGCAAAATCCGAGGAGAGTTTAGCTTCAGATGCAAGCAAATATTTCGACAGCATAGCTGGCAGTTACCAGGCAAAGTCTAACACCAGGAGAAAATCCGACTCTGATCTCAAAGCATTAAGAACCAAACTACCGCCATTGCGGAAATCTGCGAAAAAGAAGACCTCCAAATCTAAAAAAAAGACTACCGGATCCAAACAACATTCGAAGATGCGAAATCTGGAAACAAAGGTCGATATCGATCCATCTCCATGGAAGGATTATCCTAGTAACGTCAATGTCGCCAGCGAAATCGAAACGATCGTTAGTGAGAAACTCCAACACACTTTTGACAGAGCGGAACCGGAAACGGATCAAGAACCAGATGGCAAATTACAGAGCACCAGTTTGATCCTCATGCGTTCTAACGTGAAACCATCGAAATCAAAGATGCGTAGCCCTTACATGTCACAGAGCATGTCTAAAAGCAGCCTTACAAAAAATAAAAAGCGGAAACGAGGATTCAAGAATAAAAAGAAAAATGAACGCAGCACAGATAAATGAGTAAAATCTACAAACATATCTTGTTCATCTATCTAACAATTTTATACATTATTTAACAAAATCTAAATTGCTTTTAGAGAATATTTTATTACTATACAATATAATACAATACTTTTGTCCTACTATTGTGTCATCAATAGAGACCGTCATAATCCAGTGATTGAAAAAAAAAAAGATGAAAAATCTATGTTAAAAATGTATGTTGAAGAAAGCAATGTTGAATTTGAAAATAAATAGTAAGTAAATAATCTTATCCTGCTTAGGTGTTTTTGTTAGCAGTCCTTGTTATCCTTCGTCATCGTCGAAACCATATTTGACTAAGGGTTCTCTTCTGACCATTACGGGGTAGAATACGGAAATAGTCAAATGATAACCGTTTCATTAAATACTTTACGCTGTAGCCTTGGCTTGACAATAGTACTTAAAGGATCAGACCGAGCCCATGGTAGCAGTGTATAGTAGCGTACGATGGCCGTGATATTTTTTTCAATGAATAACCCCTGTAATATAACATGCATCAAAATAAAAAAAATAAAAAAACCAGCACTCAAATTGCCAGTAACATAATGAAGTGGACTATACGGGCTTCATAATTTTTCAACAAAAGATAATCGAATTTGGTTTGAGACTACAGATTTGGGCATTTACAAAGCTAGCTTTTCATGTAGTCTTTTTTTTGTACTCAGCACATGCGTAAATATTGTGAAAAATCCTCTGGAAAGACCTATGCTTAAACGTGAGTATTCCTGTTACCGAGTAGGCGATATTTAATTTCAGACAGGATTTAAGAAAAATACTACTACTTGTGGGGGTCAAATTTTGGGTTAAAAATCATTTTTTTGCATGTTTTGGTGTTTTTTGATGTGGTAACCATGGTTTTCACAAGTCCCAAATCTGGGGGAAAACAGTTTTTTTAAGAAAAAAATCAGTCTTCTAAACAAAATGAACTAAAATGTAGTTTATAAATATGTATATATATGTAGGTGTGTTGTGCAGGTTGAATTCACCACTCATGTTTATTTGAGACATGCCCTTTATTTTTAGGGTCAAGCCATTTCTACTGTACACTGCTACCCATATTCATGAACATGTTACTTGCTCAAGCAGTGATTTGTGCTCAAACCAACTTACTTAAAACTCAGTAAAAGTACGTGACACGGCAAAAAAGTCAAGTCAAGACATTGAAAATGGAATACGGTTTCAAATATCTCCAAAATTCTTGCAAAATCATTGACAAAATGTGATTTGTTTTAAATTGATAACCGGAACAAAAAATTGGGCTTGGGCACATAACCTGAGTTTGAGCATGAGGACGGTGGCATGAATACGATGAACACGGCGGGCCCAGGTATTACGGAAGGGTTAACGCCTTCCCCTTCATCGACGACACACGCCGTGTAAACGAAGGTAAAATCTATGTAATGTCACGTTCTTGAAGTGAGAACAAGGGTAGTGACAAGGCACACGAACGGGCATAATTATAAACATCGACCTTCATATCACACATGGAAATAGCACATACCTCAATAGGTTTATAATGGCGACAATAAATGCTCGACATCTACCATGGAGCTTAAGATATGCGGAGCAAGCTTTTGAATATCAATTTTTTCTGGTTATAACTCAATAAATAAATCTAACTTTGTCAATGCTTTGGAAACATTTTGAAGAGACTTAAAGCCAAATACTGTTTTCAATGTTTACATTTGACTTTTTGATTGTTTGACATGATCTAAGCGAGTTACCAGAAAGTTGGTTTGAGCACAGATTCCATGCTTGAGCATGAGAACAGTTCCATGAATACGGGCCCAGATGTTGTAATCGCGAATATTATCTGATTTAACAATTTGATCAAAACAATTTTAATTGCAAAGTGATTTAATTGACCCACTGCTCAAACGTATCACATATATTTCATATAAATATCATGTACTTACTAAACCTAACGTTGATGTACCAAAAACGGGTGTCAGACGATTCGCCCCAAAACCTTAACGCCACAAGCTGTTTACGCCCCAAATTATATCGCCCCAACCAATTCGCCCCCCAAAAAACATAACGCCCCAAATATTTCGTCCCAAAAACTTCAACGCCCATAAAAAGTCTTCCATAAAAGTATTTGAAATTTTTTAAAGTGAAATATCTACCTTTTATGTAATAATCTTAAAGATTAAAATTCAAAAATTACCATCTGTTGCAATTCGTTTGATGTTTGGGGTGCTAACTGGGGTCCTACTCGTTATGGAAGTCGGAAGATTCCAATAGCCAACCCCCATTTTTCAGTCTTGACTGTTGTCTTGCCAAAGTGATAATCGCTAGCGCTAAATTGAAATTGGAGGAGTGTGCTAGACTTTTGAACACAGTTCACAAATGGTCAGAGAGGAAGGGAAAGTCGTGGGATGCAAAAGCCATGAAACTTGCTAAACGTTACCAGATATACCAAATCATCAGTAGGGCTACGGGCGCTAACAAACCGATTATGCTTAATATTATGAAAAACGTTTTTAAGTAAGATAAACAGTCATGGTTTACAGGGGAAAATATCACATGTCTAAATATTTAAAAATGAAAAAATAAAAAATGGGAACCTGAACGTGGATTCGAAGTTGCACCGTTCATTTCGTCTGGTCACAAGTTTACTGCGTTACACGTACATAGACGAAAATGGAAATACAAACTGTTTTAACCAAAGAAACACCTGTCGCAGTTAAAGAAACTCGCCCACCTCTGTTCCAGCACTTTCCCAAAGGAGGACCACTTTTCCGGAATACAGTTTGTTTTTGGAAATTACATCACGGAATATTTTTTTTATTCACAATTATGTCGTCCTTACATAATGTCGATTGGAATGAACGGGTTATGTATGTCGGCAGCTTACAAAATAGCAAAATTATAAAGATAATGTCGGTACAACTTTAAGTACATAGTTACATGTAGCAAGAGACTTACTTGTCATGTATTCTTTGACAGCAAAACGTTTGTGTCTGATCATAATCTTGCCCAAACTATGTTAAAAAATTACCTTTTAACTTGAACAGTAAATACAAGTGAGCAACAGAAATACCGTCTCTAAGTCATTAAAGCGGAAATCTAAAATTAGTATATTAAAGGTAAGAGCGTTCTTGGAATTAACGAATTTTCGTGATAATGGGGGAAGAAAGTGTACTGAGTCAACACCAGAATTAACTTCTTCCCCTTTCTTTCATTTTCAAGGATGAAACAAATAATATATTTCTAGTATCGACACTACACTAACAAATACATGTCTGGCATGAAAACTATTAGATGATTAAATGTAGTCGACGGACAACTGCAAATCCATTGTGCGTGATTTTCTCTAAAACAATAAAATCATAAAGGAAATGAAAAGAAAATTCCAATCTAAACGTCGCATTTTTTTTTTAAATGCGTTTTTAATACTTTTTATTTCAGAGCTGACTGTCAAAGGATTGTATCTATGAATCTATCTATGAAATAGTAAAATACAACAACAAAGATGTCCTACTGCATTATAATAAAAAAAAAAAGTAAATATAATTTGAAAGTGGGCTAACCAGAGACCGGCGTGTATATGTACATGATAGAGTTGTCTTTCTTAGTGTAGTTCTCCTACAGAAGATATAACTTTTTACATTTCCTGCTGTCAAATGCTCCCCAACAAAATGAAACTTTAATGATATTATCAAGATAAAGTTAGGTGCCTTATATAAGATGGAAGGCAAGGAAGGACACGGATTGTTTCCAGAACCGAAGAATCCACAAGCGGCCGCAGCAAGCAGCGAGTCCATCTCTACGTCAGATCGCTCTGCTTCATTTCCACATGAAACATCGAGCACAAGTTCCAAAGAATCCGAATCGCCGTCGAAGTCGTTATGTTCATCGTCCTCTACCTCCTCTGAGCACGTCCCTGCTGAAATGATACCTCTAAAGGTTTGTTAAGTATACCACACTGACAGAGCAAGCATAATTTTCTCGGTGAGCTAGGCCTACTGTATGAAGCCAAGATTATAAAATTACAGTGTGTCAAATACACAGGACAACACGCCCCATTTCTGAGTTCAGCAATAATGATATCAGAACACATAGGAATAATCAAATCGTATTTTATGTTACATTCAATCCACACATATTTTGCTCTATACAACAGATCTAGGTTTCTGTCAACATTGAAATAAAACTGAAGTTTTTAAATAATTAAAACGATTAATTCGTTTTTCAGTAAAAGATTCTTCAATTTCATTTTTTTGAAAAGCAATGTATTGCATTTCTGTTTCTGACAGGTTCTGAGGGATTCTACTAAGCTTGGACAATCTGATGATCCACCTGTTCTTCAGGGAGAAAAAGTCCAGGGGATAGGTAGGTCACCATCAACACACATGTTCACCTCACAGTCCTATCATTTACATCGGTGTTGGGTCTTTTCACCCCTAAATCCTGTTCGTCAGGGGTCGTTTAACATTTTAGTTCCGTTCCGGTGTGTATAGCCATAGCTACTGCAGCCTCATTTGAAGTTTTCCTAATTATAAGTCTTCCTTAGTCTTTTTTGTTGTTAGACTTGTTAATTAGGTTTGTACGTGGTTGACCAGATCTGCTCTTACAATTAATTGTAGCTACATCTGCATGAAATTCTCCTGACAACACACTTGCTTGTGAAACATGAAAACATGAGGTTTTTCTATCAATAACAACATTTCAACTGATATTTATAACTTGAAAATATATGTATTTATATTAGGGCGAAGCAGCCTTAAACTGGGTGGTGCGGACAGGATTAATGGGTGAATGATGATCATATCATACCGGCTTCACACCTATTCTATTTCCTATTATTTTCAATTTACGTGGCCAGTTGTCACTCTGTCACTGGCTGCATAGATGAATGGTCATGGTCACTTACTGCTTTCCCCTGCACAGATCCATGGTCTTTGGACGCAATAAACGTGGTTTAACCATGCAACCTCATACCTGCCTTACTTGATTTTTGGCGAGGGTTACAATGACAATAAATTTTGCTTGGTATTTGATTTTGGACTTACTGAGTAACAATTTCACTATAAAGAAATTATATACTTTGAATATAAACAACTATGCAGTAATTTTTTTTTTTTTGCTAATATCATTGAAGAAAATTTAGTGAACTTGTATATATATATTGTTTTTAACACAGGGAAGGATGTGACCTATCTGTGTCCTTACAGTGGAGCGGTGAAGGGCACCCTTACTGTCACAAACTACAAACTTTATTTTAAAAGTTCTGAGAGGGTAGGTAATCTATCATTACATTGTTAGAATCATTTTGTATCAAACTGTATAGGTAGGACCATTCATTTTGAACCCCAGAACATAAATGTTTTGATTTTAGTTTTAATGATGAACAAATAAATCTGGAACTATCATATTTTAAAATATATCTTCACCATTAAACTTATGAAAGTTGAAACAAACAACACCTAGTTTTGAGTTTATGATAATGTTTCAGCCGATTTATGGCCTCTGCCTTATCCCCACTAAAAGAACAAGAAAAAACAAAAATTACAAAATTAATACCCTTTCATCATAAAAGAGCAAACAAAAAACCCCACTGCTTTATCAATACATAATTACAGACTGGAAAACAGCAAGAAATACTTCAGAACAAAAAAATGGGACATATATTTCTGCTAAACAAAGTTAGAAATTTTCTATACATATGAAACTACCTTACATCCTTTGATTGAACTACTTTGCTGCATGAAAGGGTTAAATGGTTATTGTTTAATAGATAACAAACAAATATTGGATAAAATAAAGAAAATCTGAAAACTGTATTCTAAAATCATGCTACTCTGAGATGCGATCTAACAAAGAATTATACAGAATTGGTCTTGGTTATGTGTGGGAAGCCCTGAGTCTAAATAATGATATATTTTTTATAATTAAGGAACGCATTTCTGATATATTCAAACAAGAATGTTTTGAAAAAATAACATCTTCTGCAAAAGGTGCACTTTACCGATATATTTGTAATTTTGGACTACAGTTTTATTTGGCCAAATCTATCAATATTAATTATGTAAAACATCTTTGTAAAATAAGATTATCAGCACACAAATTAAATATTGAATGAAGCAGGTATAACAATATCGAACGAGGAAACAGATTGTGTACATTATGTAATATGAATGAGGTAGAAGATGAATTTCATTTCATTTTTAAATGTCCTTGTTATGCTGACATACGAGCTAAATTCAACAAAAAATATTATTTAAACCGTACTAGCATGTTTAAATTTATCCAACAGCTGCTAAACAGTAATAGTTTATCAGAAATTAGAAATTTGGGTAAATATCTAGTGCATGCGAACAAGAAAAGGTCTCAACTTCTGTAATTAGTGGTTACTGTTCACTCTCCACTATATTATGTACAAATATAATACCTAGACATATTATGTTTGCATGGATGTAAATTGTATTGTACTGTATATATAATGTAACTGATAAGTCGGATGACTTAAAGTAATAATAAACTTAAACTTAACTTATGTGCATAAGTTGATTCTTGTTTTTCTAGTGTCATATTTTATTTGTGATGAAGGTAGAACAGTTTTAAGTCCACCATCATCTGATGGTGGGCTATTCAAATCACCCTGCGTCCGTGGTCCGTCTTCCGTCCGTCGTCCGTCCTTAAGCAATTCTTGTTATCGGTATTTCTCAAGAAGTGCCGGAGGGATCTTTCTCAAATTTTATATGTACGTTACCCTTGGTCCTTAGCTGTGCAGGGCAACTTTTGAGACTGATCGGATAAACAACATGGCCGACAGGCAGCCATCTTGGATTTTGATAGTGAAAGTTTGTTATCACTATTTCTCCGAAAGTACTTAAGGGATCTTTTTTAAATTTATATGTAGGTTCCCCTTGGTCCTAGCTGTGCAGGGCAATTTTAAAGACTGATTGGATAAACAACATGGCCGACAGGCAGCCATCTTGGATTTTGATAGTGAAAGTTTGTTATCGCTATTTATCGGGAAGTACAAGAGGGATTTTTCTCAAATTTTATATGTAGATTCCCCTTGATCTCTCGTTGTGCATGTTATATATTTATGACTGATCATAAAAACAAAATGGATTAAAAGAACTATACAGATCTTTCTCATATTGCAATGATTGATTCTATTTCTTTCACATTAAGTACTGTACTAGTAAATATGTGAAATGACAAACTCACTTTGAAGGTTGGCTTTCATACACATCAGTATTAAGTTTAGATCAAAAGTTACCTCAAGGGGCATTTACTGTTAACATGACTCGATCAAACAGATTAGAGGAAAGAAGAGAAAAGATCGAACTGAATTAGAATTTTTTTGGGTTTTACAAAGGTGGCGCCAAGATCCCTCTGGGAACTCTTGTTCTTTTGATCTTGAGGTAAAAAAAACTGCAATCTGTAGATATTGAAGAAGTTAAGACACACCAAAGTTAGTGTACTATTACTGTCTTACAGGAATCTCCATTTATCCTTGACGTGCCACTTGGTGTCATCAGTAAGATTGAGAAGATAGGGGGCGCCACCAGTCGAGGGGAGAACTCCTACGGGATAGATCTCTTATGCAAGGTAAGAATTCCCATATAACCAAAGGCTTTGAGAAAGTAATTTTTAAGGACAATTACCCCCCCCCCCCCCCCAATTTTTTTTTTACTTAGGAGATGGCATCTGTAATTGTTATACATGTAGCGGATCTGAACTGGGTCGATAGTCGGCGACCAGGTATAGCTCAATCGATAAAGCAGTGGCGGATCCAGAGGGTTTTTTTGGGTTTCAGGAAACCCCCCCCCCTGAAAATTTTCTTTAAAAATCATGTATTTTCACCATTTTCCTCAATTTTTCCCCACGTGGAAACCCCCCCAGGAAATTTGGAAACCCCCCCAGATAGGTCTCTGGATCCGCCACTGTAAAGAGTCCATCGAGAATTAAGAGGGTCCCTGGTACCAACCCCAGTCTGCCTGTGCATTTTTCCACTCCTACTTCAGTGGTGCCTGTGACGGTCTAGATGTCTAGAGTTCGGAGGGTCCTGGGTTTGAATCCTGGTCTGGTCATGCATTTTCCCATCTCCCATTATATACATATGTATTCAGTTTCCAAAAGTCAAGCTAAATGACAAATTATTTGTTAGCTTTACTTCAACATTTTCTTTTTCAAATACATGTACAAAGTTATACAAAGGTTGTTACAATTCAATTACTTGAGTTGTGTAGATCGTTGACAGATTATGTGAACCTTCAATATATTTTTGCCCTGCAAAATGTATTTTTCCTCCCCAATGCATTCAATGTTCCGTCCCAATACCAATATGAAATAAATCTTTTAAGAAAATTATCTTGAAGGAAAGCATTCCCAAACTATATAGGACAAGTATTGTTAACTTAGACATTTGACCAGAATATAAATAAAGTTATTTTGTCGTCTATTTGATGTGGAATTTGATTTCAATAATTAATATCGAGAAATTCACAAGAAACCATGTTTACTTGGGGTTTTAAATCAGTTACGAAGAAATCCGTAACTGTACAGCCATACGTTTTAGTGGCAAGTGTCTTTGAATTTCTAGCTAATAAAAATGTCTTTCCAACCCTGGAAAAAAGGTAAATTCTCGCTTTATTCACCTTCTGTAGCTTCTTTGGAATACAAGTGCAGGCCTTTATTCTGAATCAAAAACATCCTCCTAACAACATCTCAATCATCGTATAAATAAGATTACACCTATGATAGTGTACTGTCTGCAGTTTGAAATTCTTACTGCGGTACTATCTCAGTGCGTGCATACTGTCATTAAGCATGTTTCTTTTCATTCAAATCCAACTGTGAACAGACATATATTATTGGATTTATATATTATGATACCTTTAACTCTTGCTTGCTTCAGAGCGACAAGAATGTGTTATGTGTAAAATCAGACTCACTGTATTATTGGTCGACAGTGTGGTATTGTACATGTTAACCTCTCAATGAAAGGGCCGGATATTGCACTATTTCGGCCATAGCTACATTTATCACGGCTTTCCCAAAACTTGCTGGAAGTTGGGTTTAGGTCATGTCATTAGCAACTACGTAAAATTTTATTTAAGATATATATATACATATATGTATATCAGAATCTACTCGAGTTTTAGGGTGACATTTGACTAAATAGCTCCTTTAAATTGAGAATTTCCTGATTCAAAAATTTTCAAATATTTATCAAGTAATATATTTTTGTCCCATTTAATGCTGAAAACTGCCAAAATAAATTATTGGCAGAAGTAAGTTGTGTACATTAAATATTTCTCACATCATCTCAGCTTATGTAAAGGTGAACTATCAGCAGTTCAAAGTTTAGAAAAAAAGAAAGCCTGACTTGAACTGTAATCCAGGCTGCTACACAATTCAAATGTTCTTTTTTCCAGGACATCAGAAATTTAAGGTTTGCACACAGACAGGAAAACCATTCAAGAAGACAAGTGTTTGAAAAAATTCAACAGTATGCATTTCCCATCACGAATAAACAGGTAATATTGTACTATAATACTCAAAAAGTTATGACTGACATACTGGTTCTACATTTGTAACAGAATCCCATACTGCTGGGATTTGCTTTTTGACAAGGTGATGCCCCAAATTCGTTCAGATATTTTGGACCATGTTGCTGTATGCCAGTAATCATTTTGTAATTGAAAGCTTACCTGGGCACTATTTTAGAATAAATATTGGAAGTTCCGCTTTGATATTGGTGTTTGCAATTAACATAAATTTATAATTACTTTTGGAGGGCGTAATTTAATGTATAGGTGAACTGAATTGTTTTATTGTTAAATTTTGTTTATAAAATAGGTTTTAGTACCAGCGTAGATAGAGACTTTCCCCACTGGTTGGATAGGGACTTCTTTGACTATGGCTTAAGTTTGTTTTTGAGCAGGAATGTTAACACAGCAGTCCATGCGAAATTACAATTTTCTTACAGGCATTTGGTCAGGTTAGCTTGAAATACTTACCAGTCCAAAGAAAATGAAAAATAACCTTACATAAAATTGTTTGATGTATACAATAATTAAATAAAAACATTAACTGGGTTTAGTTTTGCCAGTGGTTTGCCCAAGTCACGTTACAAAGCATTATTCTTCACGCCGTCATTGTCAATACAGGTTACCACAGCGCTTGTCTGCTTTGAATGTTACAGGGGCATTTAAAATGTTTTAGTGACATACATGACTCAAGACGACTCTATGGTAGAAAATGTAAGCCAACATTTGGTTCGAAATTACGAAAGTGATTGCTGGACTGCCAGTAATTTTTCGGAGATATCTGTCGGACCGGCATATTATATATGGACTGCACAGCAATATGGAAGTCTAATTTAAAATTAATTGCAGATTAAGATGCTTCACAAATATTCATTGGCTGATGTTTCATGTAGATCCTTAATTTTGATTGAGTGTGTGACTATTAAAACCTATATTGTCTCTTAACAGCCCATATTTGCCTTCGATTTGGCAGAAGATTACGGAGAAGATGGTTGGAAAGTATTTGACCCTATTGCAGAATTTAAACGACAGGTATGTTGACTTAAGTATTACTGATGAACATAAGTAATCATGGTATTTTGCAATTATCTATTCCATTTACATCAGTTAAGTGTTTTACCAAAACCTCTTTTCTGAGTAATATCAGGTTTGTAAACCAGTAAGTTTTCATGCAGTTACTGCAGTCTTTAATTTCTTTAGGTAAAATGTACATATTGTAAGAATTTTTCTATTAATTATAATCTTGAATCTTGAATTTTGCCCTTAAAAAAGGCCAGGAGGCCTAATGTTTTAGACTGAGAGTGATAATTGTTTGAATTCCAGGGTCTACCAAACGAAAGTTGGCGCGTTACCAGAATCAACGAGAATTATGAAGCCTGTGACACTTACCCCTCTTTGGTAGGTATCACTAAACCGTAATTCCATTTAGTTTTCTTTTAAATTTAATTTGTGTTTAAATATCAGTTAAGGAAGGAAGCATCAGACTGGGTTAGAAAGGCGGAATAACAAGTACTGTTATCAGTGTAAATCCATAGGTGTCAACCTCTGAAACCTCCAAGGAGGGAGATCTCCTTCATTTCACATTTACAATGAGAGAGAAAGTGTGTGAAACACGACTGAAACTGCTTTGCTCAATTTATCGTTCCCTTTTTATGTATCAAATAATTCCAAAAATATTCCTTTGATATAGACACCCATGTTATGATCATTACACACACCCTGCAGTAACTAGGAGATCATTTAACCACAGGGTGTAGATTTTGAGTTTGTGTGGGTGTGACTTGAATGAGTCTCGAGGTAGATTGGTAAATTTTGGTTAAAATGAGGGAGTCTCCCTCCTTATGAGAGAGGTTTGACAGCTATGTAAATCATTGGACAAGAAGTATGGATTTGGATCCATGTCTGTGTTGGTTAAGAAATACAGATGTATTTTGACTTAAAAATTTGAGTAAATGTGTCATTACACTTATAAACAGCGATAGAAATTATACCAAAATATTTGTTAGTAAAATCTTCATGACATCTAATCAATCTTATTGTGGTTCCGACTAATTATTATACAGAAATATTTTGTGTCTAATAACAATTTTCGATTAAAGGCTTTTAAGTCAAATATTTGCCTGATGCTGGTAGAAAACTTTTCGCCGTCAAATATTTGCCTGATGCTGGTAGAAAACTTTTCCCCGTCAAATATTTTCCTGATGCTGGTAAAAAACTTTGCCCCGGCAAATATTTTCCTGATGCTGGTAGAAAACTTTTTCCCGTCAAATATTTGCCTGATGCTGCTAGAAAACTTTTCCCTGTCAAATATTTGACTGATGCTGGTAGAAAACTTTTCGCCGTCAAATATTTGCCTGATGCTGCTAGAAAACTTTTCCCTGTCAAATATTTGCCTGATGCTCGTAGAAAACTTTTCCCCGTCAAATATTTTGCCTGATGCTGTTAGAAAATTTTTCCCCATCAAATATTATCCTGATGCTGGTAGAAAACTTTTCCCCGTCAAATATTTGCCTGATGCTGGTAGAAAACTTTTCCCTGTCAAATATTTGCCTGATGCTGGTAGAAAACTTTTCCCCGTCAAATATTTGCCTGATGCTGGTAGAAAACCTTTCCCCATCAAATATTTTCCTGATGCTGGTAGAAAACCTTTCCCCGTCAAATATTTTCCTGATGCTGGTAGAAAACTTTTCCCCGTCAAATATTTGCCTGATGCTGGTAGAAACTTTTCCCCTTCAAATATTTGCCTGATGCTGGTAGAAAACTTTTCCCAGTCAAATATTTGCCTGGTGCTGGTAGAAAACTTTTCCACGTCAAATATTTGCCTGATGCTGGTAGAAAACTTTTCCCAGTCAAATATTTGCCTTGTGCTGGTAACATTTGTATTTGTCCAGTGTTCATTTTGCCCTTCACGTTTTATTACCATTTTGATTATGCTGTTTACTAACGTTCACTCTAAAGATAAATTAATCCTCATTACAGAAAAAGGCAAAAAGTTAAACCTTTTCGAAAATTTCCCATTACATAGCCTTTCAATTTAGACATTAAGACAAACCTGCATTCTTTTTTATGTGATCTCTAGATGAAGAAGTAAAAAGACCTTGCATTTTTTATTATATTTATTTCTTTAAAGGTTTTAAGATCTTCTTTGAAGATCCCAAGTTATCTTCATTTTACTAGTCTATAGCCCACTCTCTTCTTAAAGATATCAAATGTGGCATACCAACAGGTAAACATAGTGTTTAATATCTTGCTGCAAGGATGGGGAGGCTGGATAAACTTCATATGGATGTCAATACATGATATTCAATAGCTTTCTGTTTTGATTTACTAAGTAAAAACATATTTTCCTGAATTGACATAAATATTTATATGATAAGTTGATTTCTGATTACAGTTCGTTGTGCCAGCTGCTACAACAGACGATGACATCAAAGCGGTGGCCAGTTTTAGAACAAAGGGGAGACTACCTGTAAGTCTATAGTACAGAAAAAGGAGTAAAACCTTCGGCTCCTTTCCCATATCCGGTTCAAACAGTTTGCCTGTTTTTAAATGTAGAATTTTAGGGTATAACTCCTGCAAATGTTTATGCAGGCCTTACAAGGCATAGTCAAGGCTCTCATGAAAGCAGCATCAGATTACTAGGTCCTACGTTATTTCATAAGCGAACAACTCTGGTACAACCGGTCCAACTGTTTGGAGCGTGATAAACAAATTCGGCTTTGGTGACGTTTTGTAACAAACTATGCTAAAAGTTAGTTTCTTGTAAAGTTTGATCAAATAATGGTTATAAGAGACATATTTGCAATTTTTGTCCCTGAAAATATATCATTGAGATATTGTTACTGGAATATTTTGATTGATGTTGTTGCATGCATTTTCTAGCTATTCACAGTCATGTTTGTTGTAGCAATATTACATTAACCAAAGTGTGCTATTTCTTGTGCTAGGTTTTGTGCTACTTGTAGCAATATTACATCAAGTGTGCTATTTCTTGTGCTACTTGTAGCAATATTACATCAAGTGTGCTATTTCTTGTGCTACTTGTAGCAATATTACATTAACCAAAGTGTGATATTTCTTGTGCTAGGTTTTGTGCTACTTGTAGCAATGTTACATCAAGTGTGCTATTTCTTGTGCTACTTGTAGCAATATTACATCAAGTGTGCTATTTCTTGTGCTACTTGTAGCAATATTACATCAAGTGTGCTATTTCTTGTGCTAGGTTTTGTGCTACTTGTAGCAATATTATATCAAGTGTGCTATTTCTTGTGCTACTTGTAGCAATATGACATTAAGTGGACTATTTCTTGCGCTAGGTTTTGTGCTACTTGTAGCAATATTATATCAAGTGTGCTATTTCTTGTGCTACTTGTAGCAATATGACATTAAGTGTGCTATTTCTTGTGCTAGGTTTTGTGCTACTTGTAGTTATATTACATAAAGTGTGCTATTTCTTGTGCTAGGTTTTGTGCTACTTGTAGTTAAATTACATAAAGTGTGCTATTTCTTTTGCTAGATTTTGTGCTACTTGTAGCAATATTACATTAAGTGTGCAATCTTTTGTACTAGATTTTGTGCTACTTGTAGCAATATTACATTAAGTGTGCAACCTTTTGTACTAGGTTTTGTCATGGATCCATCCCCAAAGTCAGGCCACCATCTCACGTTCAGGACAGCCCCTAGTGGGCGTGGTCAACAAACGCAACAAAGATGACGAACGCTACATACAGATGATCATGGATGCTAACGCCCAATCACACAAACTCTACATCATGGACGCACGTCCGAGTGTTAACGCCCAGGCTAACAAGGTAATAAACTGGATATCATGTTACGAGGGTTTACAATACATTGTAATTATAAGTTACTAACATTTGATACCAAATAAGAGTATGGAATTAAAGGGTGTTTAAGGGATTCTTTTTAAAGACTCAGACTGGTACGATCTGTAAGTTCTCGAGTGTAAATCTGAGTACAGATATTTGAGTACTGTTCTGGAGTTCAAATCTGAGTATACTGATATTTGAGTACTGTTCTGGAGTTCACATCTGTGTACTGATATTTGAGTACTGTTCTCGAGTGCAAATCTGAGTATACTGATATTTGAGTACTGTTCTGGAGTTCAAAGCTGAGTATACTGATATTTGAGTACCATTCTGGAGTTCAAACCTGTGTACTGATATTTGAGCACTGTTCTGGAGTTCAACTCTGAGTATACTGATATTTGAGTACCATTCTGGAGTTCAAACCTGTGTACTGATATTTGGGTACTGTTCTGGAGTTCAACTCTGAGTATACTGATATTTGAGTTCTGTTCTGGAGTTCAAATCTGATTATACTGATATTTGAGTACCATTCTGGAGTTCAAACCTGTGTACTGATATTTGGGTACTGTTCTGGAGTTCACATCTGTGTCCTGATATTTGAGTACTGTTGTTGAGTGCAAAGCTGTGTACTGATATTTGGGTACTGTTCTGGAGTTCAACTCTGTGTACTGATATTTGAGAACTGTTCTGGAGTTCAAAGCTGAGTATACTGATATTTGAGTACTGTTCTCGAGTGCAAATCTGAGTATACTGATATTTGAGTTCTGTTCTGGAGTTCAAAACTGTGTACTGATATTTGGGTACTGTTCTGGAGTTCAACTCTGTGTACTGATATTTGGGTACTGTTCTGGAGTTCAACTCTGAGTATACTGATATTTGAGTTCTGTTCTGGAGTTCAAAACTGAGTATACTGATATTTGAGTTCTGTTCTGGAGTTCAAATCTGTGTACTGATATTTGAGTACTGTTCTGGAGTTCAAATCTGAGTACTGATATTTGAGCACTGTTCTGCTTTGTTCATCAGATTACTGGTCAGTTGGAATTAACAAAGGTCGATTAAAATTAACTTTTGGTTAATTGGAATCGACTATTGTTAGTAAGCTTAGAATATCAGAGTTCTAGACAGTTAAGAGCTAAAGAGGAGCTTATATCAACCTCAGTCAGTGAAGAAATGTCTGCCATATGTGTTTCACAGGCAAAAGGCGGGGGATATGAGCGAGAGGAGAACTATCAGAATGCGGAGGTCGTCTTCCTGGATATACACAACATTCATGTCATGAAGGACAGGTAATACAAATATACTACAAGATTTCATTTGACCCTTGACATTTAGCAATTTCAAAATTCGGATCACATTTTCCCTGAAATTCAATAGGTCAAAACATTTTTTATATTGATTAACAACTAGCCCCTACTGGTTTAATTGCTTTACAGTTCACAGTTCATGCTCAAATCCTTAGATATGGCACGTATGAAAACACATGTCAAATATTTGTCCTTTCAAATCCAAAAGTCAAAATTTTAGTTAAGGAGAGAAAACCTTATTTTCAAGAACCTACTGAAATCTGTGCTACAATACTCTTCTTTAATCATTAGTTAGTGTTAGCTGACTCAATTTTTATGTTGTAACAGGTTAACTTTCCTGTTTCTCAACTAGAATTTGTCCTCTTCTAATTTGCTAATACCATATTTAACCTGCAATAAACCAAGGGAGCCAACATATCAACCTTTAATCAACATATAGGGATGGGTATATTGCAGGACAATGAAACGAAGTTTGTTAGTGTTTCTACTTAACTGGAATTGAAAAGGATGGGCTTATTACCAGGCATGTACTTATCGCTGGATAAATCTGGTTGATATATTGTCACAAGCAAAACTTGATGAAGAATTTGATAAAAAGTATAAAGAAATTCAGAAAGTGATGTGCTGATTCAGCTTTTAGGGTGTTTAATACGGAATGATAAATGTATCTTTTGTATTGTTTTTAAAAGATAAATCAGGCCTGGTGTGTAGATTGCATCTGTTGAAATCAGGTTATTTAGGCACTTAAATAAATGTCCCATGTGTATGGTCCAAATTCAAGGTTTACAAGATTCTGCTAACATTTTTGTTAACAGTCTAAGGAAGTTGAGAGATGTGGTGTTCCCTACGATAGACGACGCCCACTGGCTGACAAACATTGAATCAACACACTGGCTCGACCATGTGAAGGTAAGGGAAGTAACCTGTATATCAATAAAGGCTCCCACCACCACGGGCACAGTACCCAAGGGCTGATTAACACATATGTGGGTGTCATAGGCAATGGACAACAGCAATGTTCAAATAACTACAGCAGAATTTTGTAAATCGAGATGTGGTAGAAACTCATTATAAAAATATTATCTTATTTAATTTTACAACAATTATGAAACAAGTCATTTCAACTTATATTAACCCCTTTTGTTGGCCAAGATGTTAGCCAGCGGAGGGTCTTAATGTGGGAGGAAACTGGCCTAGACTTGGTGAAAGGCTAGTGTGTTATCCACTGCGCCAACCGACCACCCGACCACCCGACCACCCAAACTCATTATAATGCCACCATTTATCTAGCACAATGTTGGCATTGTAAAGGAATGTGGCGATACATTGAGGGAGATATAGAGAAAAAAGTTAAGAACATTTTTCAATCCTACTAAATGCTACAATGCTACGATGAGCTTTGTTTCCATCTCTGCGCGAAATAATGATTGATAACTGCAACTACCAGTGTATATTAAGTTCTTGATTACGTGCCTGGAAAAGAGATTTCCAGATTATCTGGAATCTGAATAAGCAAACTTCGTCATTGCTGGCAAATGTTGAAATAGGGCATTTTGACAGAAAAAACATGCTGAACCTAAATATAAAAGGACACGTGAAGTTAAAGTTTCATGTTTGAAATGTTAAGTAGGAAAACACACAATGACATTAAGTCAGTTATGCAAAGAATGGGAGATCCAACATCTGCTAAAAAAGTTCCATTTAGTCCTTGGTTGATAACTAATTACTGGGTTCCTTATGGAATATGTAAGTCTTGCTGTCAGAAATAGAGGATTCAGTTAAAAGAAAATGACAAAGACAACATAAAACTAGGTTCCATTTTTGTACAAAGACATTTAGTTTGACTTCTAAATATTATATTCCCTCTGCAGTAAAATCTTGAAACTTGCTTCGTTATTAAATGAATATTCTTTATTCCAGCAAATTTTGTCTGGTGCACTGAGAATAGCGGACAAATTGGAGTGTAACAAGACTTCGGTACTGGTGCACTGTAGTGACGGTTGGGACCGTACAGCCCAGGTATACAACAGAAACATTTAGCAGGATCAATGTTATCATCATCTCGTGGTCTTTGTTTCTAGAAGAGGAATAAGTTGTTGTAGGTGGTATGATAGACAAATATGAACTAATATTACAAACTTCAAAACGCCAAGCGTTACTATAATTTATTAGGTTATGTTTTATATAGCGGCCTATTCTAGTTTTGGTCCTCTTTTAGATGTTGCATGTTGTTCATACTAATTGAAACTTTTGTTCTAAATCACAAATAATGTTCAGGTTCTTGCTCATTCAAGTCCAAACTTCTACAAACTCAAAATCTATATCCTGTGGTCAAATGATTTCCTAGTTACTGCAGGGTGTGTGTAATGATCATAACAGGTGTGTCTGAATCAAATGGATGTTTTTTTAGAGTTAATTTGATACATAAAAAGGGAAAGATAAATTGAGCAAAAGCAGTTTCAGTTGCATTTCACACACTTTCTCCCTCATTGAAAATGTGGAATAAGGGAGATCTCCCTCATTGGAAATGTGGAATGAGGGAAATTTCTCTCATTGGAGGTTTCAGAGGTTGACACCTATGGGGGTGGGGGGAGGGGTCCTCTTTGTCCCTACGTTGAAGATGTTATAGAGACCCACTTCATTCCTTCACTCTGTTGTTATCCTTCACAGTTTCCCCTCTGACACCGTAACAAGGTCATATGACCTATATTGTGTTTCAACAACATAAAATGCCAAACAAATAGAAATAAAACCAACTGCATCATGTCTGAAAATATATAACCATACCTGTATAGGATGTAGGAATGGGGAAAGATACAATTTCTTGTCATAAAATGGGTATACAATTGAAGCTTGCTGGGTACGAGACTTTATGTACATTTGCATGATAAACAAATATATTTTGAACATGTCCTCAGGAAGTATGTGTATACTTACAGCTGACCTGCCTGTCAATGATCATGTTGGACCCTTACTATAGAACTCTGCAAGGCTTCGAGGTCCTGGTGGAGAAGGAGTGGCTTAGCTTCGGACATAAATTTGCACAGGTAAGTAAAAAAAAAAGGAAAAACTTAAAAGCAGTATAACAAGAAGGGGAAAATAAATCCTTCATCAAGAAAAATCTGACAGTTATTATCCTATTTGTGATTATTTCTATTGTTTGATGATGACAGAGAGTCGGCCATGGAGAAGACAAACATTCCGATGCTGACCGCTCTCCAGTGTTTCTTCAGTTCATTGATTGTGTGTGGCAGATCATGAGACAGGTAACTTAGCCACGTTTTATGGACCAATTAATTTGAATTCTATACTTAATGTTTAATTCTATATCTGATACTGACTTAAAGTGAATGATAAATGAATATAATTGCATGGATGAATAAAAAAGGGAGTTATAAATAAATGTATTTGATGAAAATTTATTGAAAAAAAATATTTATATAAGAATTGAGCTATACCTGCAATTAACCATTAATTGTTAAATGAAGAAAAATATGGTTTATAGCTGTCTGTCACATAATTTTAATGCTTAAATATCATGTTGGTTTATTTTAAGAAATTTGATCAGTGATTTGACTGTGTGACCTACTGTTGTATAAAGTAAATAATTTATTTGAGTAACAAGTAAAGCTCAATGCAAGGTACTGTAATCTGTCAAAACTACACAACTATTACTGCAAGACCGCTAGGTCAATTCACAAAACCTTCATTCCAAAACTTCATTCCAAAACTTCTTATTCCTGCTTCAGCAACTTCAATATCTCAAAATTACTGTAGTCCTATTTATGAATTTATTTCAGTTTCCAAATGCCTTTGAGTTTAATGAGCATTTCCTGATAACGATTATGGACCATCTGTACAGCTGTCTGTTCGGAACCTTCCTCTGTAACTGTGAACAACAGAGACAAAAAGAGGTAGGCTGTAGCCCTGTAAAAAACGAGAGGCCCATGGGCCTTAACGGTCACCTGAGTCCTACAGTATTTATTTTTGTTGTTGAAATATGTACCAATTTGAGTAAAAAATAGTTAAGTATAATGTTAACTTAACTTTGTCAGGACCATGAGCTGATCATTCCTAGCCCGACTTTCAGTGAGATCGGCCTATTAGAACTTGTTTTTAAGTTTGAAATAGGTATTTACAAAATAGCGGCCATGGCAGCCAAATTGTATTTCTAATTGACCCGAAAAATAACAACACTTTGTCAGGACCATGATTCGATCATTCCTACAAAGTTTCAGTTCAATCGGCCAAGTAGAACTTTACTTTAAGTTTGACATAGTTTTTCAAAATGGCGGCTGTGGCGGCCATATTGGATTTCTGATCGACCCGAAAAATAACAACACTTTGTCAAGACCATAAGTCGATCATTCCTACAAAGTTTCAGTTCAATTGGCTTAGCAGATCTTGACTTTAAGTTTGAAATAGTTTTTCAAAATGGCGGCTGTGGCGGCCATATTGGATTTCTGAGCGACCCGAAAAATAACAACACTTTGTCAAGACCATAAGTCGATCATTCCTACAAAGTTTCAGTTCAATTGGCTTAGCAGAACTTGACTTTAAGTTTGAAATAGTTTTTCAAAATGGCGGCCTAAAGCTCAGGTGACCTAAAAAGTATAAAAATCAGCAGATGCCAATGATAGAAAAGTTTACACAAACAATGTACATTTTAAACGTGTCGCAACGTTTCAAGACCGACTGGTCCCTTTGTCAAGCTATGACAATTGTTTGTGTAGAAAGTAAAACCGTTGCCAATATTTACCTTTGCTCACATTTACACGGTTAGGGTTGAAAAGACCCTTAAAGGGTTGGCCTTGAAAAGACCTAAAATTGATGAAAAGGACCTAAAAGCCCTTAAATTCAACTAAAATGTCTTGAAGGGATGAAAATGAGCCTTGAGTTATACTAAATGAATTTTAAATTATAATTGAATAGTAAATTTGGTGGTTTGTGGTGTTATACTCATAAAAGTGAGTTAATTTATATATTTTCATCCAGGTTTTCACAATCAGATCTCTGTATTTTTAGAACTTGTAAATGGCTAGAGATTTAAGGCCTTAATTTAACTGAAAAAAAATCCCTTAATGGCCATAAAAAACTCATCAGATTTTATAGTGAAATTCTTGTAAGAACCTTGATTTAAAATCAAGTGTTGTAATGAATAAATACATTTTAAATTGAATGTTGATTTAAGAAAAATAGTAGTGACCACATTTTACAAAACAAATGTTACAAAGTATTGTAATACATAGTAATTTTTAGCTCACCTGGCCGGAAGGGCCAAGTGAGCTTATGCCATGGCGCGTCGTCCGTCCGTCCGGCGTCCGGCGTCCTGCGTCCGGCGTCAATATTTTACTTTAAACAACTTCTTCTTAAAAACCAAAAGGCCTAGGTTGATGATATTTGGCCAGAAGCAAACTAGGATTAAGGCTACCAAGTTTGTTCAAATAAATGACCTTCACCTATTTTCAAGGTCACAGGGGTCAATTGTCTTAAAAAATCTTTATACAGCTTCTTCTGAATAACTAAGAGGCCTAGGATAATGATATTTGGCCAGTAACATGCTAGAATGAAGGGCTACCAAGTTTGTTCAAATGAATGACCTTTACTTATATTCAAGTTCACAGGTGTCAAATATATTGAAAACCTTTAAACAACTTCTTCTCAATAACCAAAAGGCCTAGGATGATGCTATTTGGCCAGTAGCATGCTGTGATGAAAGGCTACCAAGGTTCTTCAAATCAATGACCTTCGTCCATTTTCAAGGTCACAGGGGTCAATTGTCTTAAAAAATCTTTATACAAATTCTTCTGAATAACTAAGAGGCCTAGGCTAATGATATTTGGCCAGTAGCATGCTAGAATGAAGGGCTACCAAGTTTGTTCAAATGAATGACCTTTACTTATATTCACGGTCACAGGGGTCAAATATGTTAAAAACCTTTAAACAACTTCTTCTCAATAACCAAAAGGCCTAGGATGATGCTATTTGGCCGGTAGCATGCTGTGATGAAGGGCTGCCAGGTTTGTTTGAATGAATGACCTTGACTTATATTCAAGGTCACATGGGTCAAATATGTTTAAAACCTTTAAACAACTTCTTCTGAATAACTTAGAGGCCTAGGGTTAAGGTATTTCACCATTAGCATGCTGGAATAAAGGGCTACCTATTTTGTTCAAAAGAATGACCTTGACTTATATTCAAGGTCACAGGGGTCAAATATTTTTAAAACCTTTAAACAACTTCTTCTGAATAACTTAGAGGCCTAGGGTTAAGGTATTTCACCATTAGCATGCTGGAATAAAGGGCTACCTATTTTGTTCAAAAGAATGACCTTGACTTATATTCAAGGTCACAGGGGTCAAATATGTTAAAAACCTTTAAACAACTTCTTTTGAATAACTAAGAGGCATAGGGTTACAATATTTGGCCAGTGGCATGCTGTGATTAAGGGCTACCAAATTTGTTCAAATCAATGACCTTCGTCCATTTTCAAGGTCACAGGGGTCAATTATGTTTGAAACCTTTAAACAACTTCTTCTGAATAACTAAGAAGCCTAGGATAATGATATTTGGCCAGTAACATGCCAGGATAAAGGGCTACCAAGTTTGTTCAAATGAATGACCTTTACTTATTTTCAAGGTCGCAGGGGTCAAATATGTTTAAAACCTTTAAACCACTTCTTCTCAATAACTGAAAGTCTTAAGATGAGGGTATTTGGCCAGTAGCATGCTGGGATAAAGGGCAACCAAGTTTATTCAAATGAATGACCTTTACATATATTCAAGGTCTCAGGGGCCGATGATATTTGGTCATTAACAGGCTGGGATGAAGGGCTACCAATTTTGTCAAAATGAATGACCTTCGCCCATATTCAAGGTCACAGTGGTCAATATATGTTTAAATCTTTAAATGACTATTTCTGTATAACCAATAGGTCCAGGGTTATGATATTTTGCCAAAAGCATGCTGGGTGGGAAGACTTTAAACTCTGTTCAACCTAATGTCCTTGTTCGTCATTCAAGGTCACAGGCGTCATATGTTTAAATCTTTTAATAGGCTCTTATGAATCAAACACTGATATTCTTCCTGTAGCTGCATGTTAGTCCACTTTTAAGATTACAAGTGTGAGATTAATACCAGGTGAGCGATTCAGGCCAATTGGGCCTTTTGTTTTATTTAAGATATGACAGCAGTTGTAATGAACGGTAGTCTTGAATGATGGGAGAGTTACCGCAGCGTCTGTCGTCCATCGTCCGTCCGTCAACTTTTCCTTTAAACCGCTACTTGTCCTGAACGGCCAAGTAGATTTTGACTAAATTTCGTCTGGAGCATCCTTAGGCAAAGGGGACTTAATTTTGTATAAATGGTGGGTGTGGCCCCCCCCTTGGGGCAGAGGGGCAGGGCCCTAGAAGGGAAATAGAGGAAAAACCTTTAAAATCCTTTTTCTACCGTAGGGATTAAGGGAATTTATCCTGATTTAGTCTGGAGCATCCTTAGGCCAATGAGACTCAATTTTGTATAAACCGTGGGTCTGCCCCCCCCCAGGGGCCTGAGGGGCAGGGCCCAATAGGTGAATTAAAGCAAATTCTTTAAAATCCTTCTTCTGTAGGAATGAAAGGATTTGGTCCATATTTAGTTTGAAGCATCCTTGGGTGAAGGGGAACCAATTTTGTATAAACCGTGGGTCTGGCCCCCCAGGAGCCTGAGGGGTGGGGCCCAATAGGGGAAACATAGCAAATTATTCTTTAAAATCCTTCTTATTCTGTAGGAATGAAAGGATTTGTTGTGGAGCATCCTTGGGCCAAGGGGACTCGATTTTGTATAAATGGTGGGTCTGGCCCCACTCGGGCCTGAGGGGCAGGGCCCAATAGGGGAAATATAGAAAATTATTCTTTAAAATCCTTCATCTTCTGTAGGAATGAAAGGATTTGTTCCATATTTAGTTTGAAGCATCCTTGGGTGAAGGGGAACTGATTTTGTATAAACCTTGGGTCTGGCCCCCCAGGAGCCTGAGGGGTGGGGCCCAATAGGGGAAACATAGCAAATTATTCTTTAAAATCCTTCTTATTCTGTAGGAATGAAAGGATTTGTTGTGGAGCATCCTTGGGCCAAGGGGACTCGATTTTGTATAAATGGTGGGTCTGGCCCCACTCGGGCCTGAGGGGCAGGGCCCAATAGGGGAAATATAGAAAATTATTCTTTAAAATCCTTCATCTTCTGTAGGAATGAAAGGATTTGTTCCATATTTAGTTTGAAGCATCCTTGGGTGAAGGGGAACTGATTTTGTATAAACCTTGGGTCTGGCCCCCCAGGAGCCTGAGGGGTGGGGCCCAATAGGGGAAACATAGCAAATTATTCTTTAAAATCCTTCTTATTCTGTAGGAATGAAAGGATTTGTTGTGGAGCATCCTTGGGCCAAGGGGACTCGATTTTGTATAAATGGTGGGTCTGGCCCCACTGGGGCCTGAGGGGCAGGGCCCAATAGGGGATATATAGAAAATTATTCTTTAAAATCCTTCTTATTCTGTAGGAATGAAAGGATTTGGTCCATATTTGGTGTGAAGCATCCTTGGGTTAAGGAAACCAATGTTGTGTAAACGGTGGGTCTGGCCCCCCCTTGGGGCTGAGGGGTGGGACCAAATAGGGGAAATAAAGCAAATTCTTTAAAATCCTTCATCTTCTATAGGAATGAAAGGATTTGTTCCATATTTTGTTTGAAGCATCCTTTGGTGAAGGGGAACCGATTTTGTATAAACCATGGGTGTGGCCCCCCAGGGGCAGTGGGGCAGGGCCCAATAGGGGAACATAGCAAATCATTATTTAAAATCCTAATTCTTCTGTAGGAATGAAAGGATTTGGTCCATATTTTGTGTGGAGCATCCTTTGGTAAAGGGGAACCAATTTTCTATAAACAGTGGTTGTGGCCACCCTTGGACCTGAGGGATGGGGCCCAATAGGGGAAATAGAGGTAAAACCCTTTAAAATCCTTCTTCTACCATAGGGATTAAGGGATTTTATCCTAATTTAGTCTGGAGCATCCTAGGGCAAAAGGGACTCAATTTCGTATAAACAGCGAGTGTGGCCCCTCTTGGTGTAGAAGGAAGGGGCCCAATAGGGGAAACATAGCAAATTCTTCAAAATCCTTCTTCTTCTTTAGGAATGACAGGATTTTGTCCAAATATGGTATAAAGCATCATTTGGTGAAGGGGAACCAATTTTGTATAAACGGTGGGTATGACCCCCCTCCCCTAGGGGCATAGGGGTGGGGCTCTTTTTGAAAAAAATCTTGCTTTATCTCAAGTACTGGATGAATCTTTCTGAAATTTCATATGTACTTACAGCACCTACAATGGTGTGATATATTTTTACTTCATACCAATTAATTTAAACATATTCAGGTGAGCGATACAGGCCCTCTGGGCCTCTTGTTTGCGATGTCCCAGTGTTGTGTTTTTCTGTTTAGAATCTAAAGGTCAAGACAGTGTCACTTTGGTCGTTTGTGAACTGCCAGAAAGAGGAGTTTATTAACCCACTGTACGCAGCCTACATCCACCAGCATGTCCTCTTCCCGGTGGCCAGCATGAGGAGGATTGAACTGTGGACCGGGTACTACTGTCGCTGGAACCCTCGCATGAGGCCACAGGTAACGCCTCAACAGCTTGTCAACATTCATTGAAGACCGCAGATTAGAAAATGGGAAAATCGCAGGTGTGCCAAAAAAGACATGGGTATAAAAGTGTAGAAATGTGAAACATGAAGGGTCTGAAATATTGTAGTAGATGCAGCTGATCTATTTGGTTTCTTCAATGTTGGGAGTAGACACGAAACCCTAATTCTGTAGGGGGGGGGGGCCATACATCATTTGGCACATACAAGTTTTTCTATGGCCAAGTTTATGGATCATGATGACTTCTTACTTAAATCTTATTTGTGCCATTGATCACATAAGGCATCCACATAGTCTCTGTATGTGTGTCTGCCTCAGTAGTCAGATTGAACTGCACGAGGGGTGACTAGCCCTTACTGCAGGCCTGATCCCCTTAGCGGGCATGACCCGTATCCACTTCCTACAACAGGGATGTGGGGCTTAGACTTTAGGAGGCTTTATGTACCTGTTACAAAAAGCTCAAGAAATTTTGAAAAGTTAACAGTGTCATCTGAACCTTTACACATGTCTTTCTACTTCAGATGGCAGTGAAATAACATCTTGGACATACAAAAAATATTGCATGCCTGCAAGGGAAAATTTAAGTCTAATTATTTCATTTTTTCTCACAGGAACCCATACACCTGAGGAACAGAGAGTTGATCATACTGAAGGCTCAACTTCAAAAGAACGTAGAGGAACTACAGCAGGAGCTGGAGGCCAGAAACTCGGGAGGTGGACTTTCTCCGGGACGTCAAAGTCCTCCGCGGATATCGGCTCCCATCAATGTATAACTTTGGGGGAGATTTAATGGACTTACTCATTTACAACAGCATCTTCATCATTGACCTGCAACAAGATCAGGCAATCTCAATTCAGGGGAGATAATCTATGTAAAAGGGGACATAATTCGTACCCAACATAGCTACAAGATGAGGTGAATAGGAGTTGGTCTATTTGCAGAAGGATCCAATCCATAAAAGGGAAGGAGGGCATACCCACTGCATCATTTATCATGTTCTAAATACTGTTTGGACCAGAGGCTTTTGTTCATGGACCTTGTGATCTTGTTGTGAACCTTGATGTAGACTTTTGAGGCCTTCTAATCAAATCTTATCTAATTGAAAACTTTGGAAGCTTCATCCCTGGAAAATATTACATTTAAAGTAGACAAATCAGTCTGCACTCATAACAAGAACCTTGGAGTTGATCTTTATGCAGGTAGAAGTAAAAATTAAACATGAAAACTTCGACAGAATCCATAAACAGGGAAGGTGATACATAGTATTTGCATATTGCAACTGGTGGAATCTGAAAGAAATGACTGGCATAGATTCAGGCCAAGGATTAAATCTGGAAAACTTTGTATGTGCACATTTAAAGGTTCGAATGTGCCTGTCTGAAACTATACGGTTGACTATTTCTAGTTTGCAGTCTTTCTTCAGGAAATATATTTTCAGACATGTTATTAAATTAATTGCATGTATGTCCTTTATTGAGTGAAAGAAGCACCTAGAATATTTGATTTATTGTTTTTATTTGTCACAAAACTCTGAAAGATCATCCCATTTCTGGTCTGTGTACCATCTAGAACGGTGTAACCACGATATGTGAAAGCAGCCTTGTAAAGGATGAAAGGGGAGGTTATCCACACTAAGGGGAGGTAATTCATTCATATGATAGATAACCATTACATAGGGGCCAAAACCTTCATTTACCAATATGAATTCAATTGTCATATCTTGTGAAAGGGGTACACAGATATACGAGGGAGTATTGGGCAGATAAGGGAAATAAGAAGTCTTCCAGATCATTAATCATAGTCGTAAGGATATTGTCTCGAAGAAAATCTTTTGCTTGTCAAGAAAAGTGATATGACAATTTTATATGGACTAGAGATCTTGTAATTGTAGTAATAAACAGTAAGTAGGTTGTTTTTAGGCCAACAGAATTGAAAAAAAACATGTTTTAAGGGAAATTGTGGTTGATATAGTTGTTACATCAACGCTGGTTGCATGTACTGCATAGATGGTAGACATGTTCAAATTGGTGGCTTGCTTTTAAATGCTCTTGTTAATTTTAACCTTTTGTTTCTGTTCAGTGGACGCATTGGCCCAATTGACAAATGGATGTTTTGAGAAACAGTATTGATAGTAATTATCTTTTAATTTGGAAGGGGAGGGTTGGGAGGGGTCATTAAGTACCTTAATTCACAGTATATTGCTTAAACATGTATATAAATTGTTAAATAAGGCAATGTCCGAGACATTAATATGTGCAATACATTATTTGATGTAAATTTAGTAAGAGTTTTTTTTTGTAAGATGTGAGAGAGTGGATGGGTCCGTTACCTGTGACAATAGAGAGAGCATGTCTGTAGGAGAGACCGTTTCTGTATGCGGGGGCATGTCTGTAAGGTGTGACAATAGAGAGTATATATGTAGGAGGGTGTGTGTCATTACGAAGGAGCGTGTCTGTAAGGTGTGACAATAGAGAGTATATTTATAGGAGGGGGCGTGTCTTTACGAAGGAGCGTATCTGTAAGGTGTGGCGATAGAGAGTATATATGTAGGAGGGGGCATGTCTTTACGAAGGAGCGTGTCTGTAAGGTGTGACAATAGAGAGTATATATGTAGAAGGGGGCATGTCTTTACGAAGGAGCGTGTCTGTAAGGTGTGACAATAGAGAGTATATATGTAGAAGGGGGCATGTCTTTACGAAGGAGCGTGTCTGTAAGGTGTGACAATAGAGAGTATATATGTAGAAGGGGGCATGTCTTTACGAAGGAGCGTGTCTGTAAGGTGTGACAATAGAGAGTATATATGTAGAAGGGGGCATGTCTTTACGAAGGAGCGTGTCTGTAAGGTGTGACAATAGAGAGTATATATGTAGGAGGGGGCGTGTCTTTACGAAGGAGCGTGTCTGTAAGGTGTGACAATAGAGAGTATATATGTAGGAGGGGACGTGTCTTTATGTAGAAGCGTGTCTGTAAGGTGTGACGATAGAGAGAGCATGTCTGTAGGAGGGGGCGCGTCTGTACGAGGAGACGTGTTTGTTTGGTATTACATTAATGGATATGCCTGAGGTTTGAGATCTGTGTCATTCCCCAACTTTGGGGCAAATGATTCATTTTCTCTCAATTGTGTATGAATACTGCATTAATGCGGAGTCAGATACTTCACGGCTTTCCACCTTACGAAATGCAGTTCTTTATTGTAGACAAATAATATCGACAATACCATGGCTTGATAAATTATGTATATATCTTAAATGAAAATGATTTAAATAAGCATACAGATCAACAGAGGGACATGTGTAAAAGTGTGAGACCTCAAAAAGGTAGAGGGTGTGCATCTTTAAGGTATGAGACAGAGGAGGTTTGTCTACGGAGAGGGTACATATGTAAGATGGAGAGTGTGCATCTTTAAAGTATGAAATTAAGGAGGCATGTCTATGGAGACATGGAGGGTGTACATCTTTAAAGTATGAAATTGATGAGGCATGTCTATGGAGTGATGGAGGGTGTACATCTTTAAAGTAGGAAATTGAGGAGGCGTGTCTATGGAGGGATGGAGGGTGTACATCTTTAAAGTATGAAACTGAGGAGGCATGTCTATGGAGACATGGAGGGTGCACATCTTTAAAGTATGAAATGGAGGAGGCATGTCTATGGAGTGATGGAGGGTGTACATCTTTAAAGTATGCAATTAAGGAGGCATGTCTATGGACACATGGAGGGTGTACATCTTTAATATATGAGATGAAGTAGGCATGTCTATGGAGACATGGAGGGTGCACATCTTTAAAGTATGAGATTGAGGAGGCATGTCTATGGAGACATGGAGGGTGTACATCTTTAACGTATGAAATTGAGGAGGCCTGTCTATGGAGAGATGGAGGGAGTACATCTTTAAAGTATGCAATTAAGGAGGCATGTCTATGGACACATGGAGGGTGTACATCTTTAATATATGAGATGAAGTAGGCATGTCTATGGAGAGATGTAGGGGGGCATAGTTAAGGGATGAGATTGAGGAGGCATGTCTATGGAGAGGTGGAGAGTGTACATCTTTAAAGGATGAAATTGAGGAGGCATGTCTATGGAGTGATGGAGGGTGTACATCTTTAAAGTATGAAATGGAGGAGGCATGTCTATGGAGTGATGGAGGGTGTACATCTTTAATATATGAGATGAAGTAGGCATGTCTATGGAGAGATGTAGGGGTGCATAGTTAAGGTATGAGATTGAAGAGGTGTGTCAGAGTTGGTGCGTCTTTTAGAGGACTTATAAGATTGGTGTTTCTAGATCCAATCTCCACACTGAGATAATACTTTTCATCCATCCCAGTTTTCATAAGCAGTATGCATGCTTTGTTACCCTTTAAACGGGCTTTAAGTTTGTAACTCTAACAATGAAATATGTACTTTTGAAAGTCGACAGTTATACACTAACAAATGGATGGAATGCAAGATATCTAAATGTGTGCAATAATTAAAATTAATTGAACTTTTCTTACCTGTTAATTAGTCTTTAAAAAGTATAATATTAATCAATTTCATTTAAGTTAAATGTTCAGAAAATTTAGTATTCTATTCTTTTCATAGCCTAGCATTCCCCTATAGACTTTATACAGTGTGATAATATAATCATACATCTACACCGTGCATGTGATCCTGTAGTTGTTCTTTCAAGGAAAACATTTTTTGTACTAGCATCATGTTCTATTTATCATGTTTTTTAATGTTGTACTCTTTTGATAGAAATGATTAGTAAGGTTCTGTTCGTTCATTATCGTCTTGATGAATCCCATTTAAGAATTTCTTTTAGGATAAATTAATATGCAAGTAATAAATGATAGAATTAAAGATTTGGTTTGTTTTATATCTTTTGAAACAAAGGAGTTTCAAGGAAAATATCTGTTTTGTATTGTCTGTGAAACGAAGGTAGCTTATAGTCCGAGTGTTTTCTACACAAGGATTTCCATGTAAATGTTCTTAAAGGAACACTTTGATTATGTGTAACTTCCTACAAATATTACTCAAGTTTGGATTTTCCTTGGTTCTGACTTTCGATATAGACATCATTGGTAGCTATCTTGGATTTTGGTACTTAAAGTTGTTTCCATGCTCTAAAAGAAATGCTTTGATTTTCATGAAACTTCCTGCAAATATATTAGGAGTTTCTATTTTATTCAATTCTGACTCTGTCTGATATGAAAATTAATACGATGTGCAGTGGCCATCTTGGATTTCTTCATGTGCGGTGGTTTAAGTGCATCAACTCTTGAACAAAAAGATTGATTTTAGCTCACCTGGCCCGAAGGGCCAAGTGAGCTTATGCCATGGCGCAGCGTCCGGCGTCCGGCGTCCGGCGTCCGGCGTCAATATTTTACTTAAAACAACTTCTTCTTAATAACCAAAAGGCCTAGGGTGATGATATTTGGCCAGAAGCAAACTGGGATGAAGGGCTACAAAGTTTGTTCAAATAAATGACCTTCAACTATTTTCAAGGTCACAGGGGTCAATTGTCTTCTCAATAACCAAAAGGCCTAGTATGATGCTATTTGGCCAGTAGCATGAAGGGCTGCCAAGTTTGTTCCAATGAATGACCTTGACTGAAATTCAAGGTCACCGGGGTTAAATATGTTTAAAACATTGAAACAACTTCTTCTGAATAATTAAGAGGCCTAGGGTTAAGATATTTGGCAAGTAGCATGCTGGGATGAAGGTCTGCCAAGATTGTTCAAATGAATGACTTTGACAAATATTCAAGGTCACAATGATGAAATATGTTTAAAACCTTTAAGCAACTTCTTCTCATTAACCATGAGTCCTAGGATGATGATATTTAGCAAATAGCATGCTGGGATGAAGGTCTACCAAGTTTGGTCAATTGAATGACCTTGACGTATATTCAAGGTCACATAGGTCAAATATGTTTAAAACATTTAAACAACATCTTCTGAATAAATAAGAGGCCTAGGGTTAAGATATTTGGCCAGTAGCATGCTAGGATGAAGGGCTACCAAGTTTGTNGGGTTCCAAGTTTGTTCAAATGAATGACATTCATCCATTTTCAAGGTCACAGGGGTCAATTGTCTTAAACAATATTTAAACAACTTCTTCTGAATAACTAAGAGGCCTAGGATAATGATATTTGGCCAGTAACATGCTAGGATGAAGGACTACCAAGTTTGTTTAATGAATGACTTTGACAAATATTCAAGGTCACAGGGGTCAAATATGTTTGAAACCTTTATACAAATTCTTCTGAATAACTAAGGGGCCTAGGGTTATGATATTTGGTAAGTAACATGCTGGGATATATGGCTACCAAGTCTGTTCAAATGAATGACCTTTACTTATATTCAAGGTCACAGGGGTCAAATATGTTTAAAACTTTAAATGACTTGTTATGTATAACCAAAAGTTCCAGGGTAATGATATTTTGGCAAAAGCATGCTGGGTTGGAAGACTATAAAATCTGTTCAACCTAATGTCCTTGGTTCTTATGAATCAAACACTGATATTCTGCCTCTAGCTGTATTTTAGTCCACTTTTAAGATTATAAGTGTGATATTAATACCAGGTGAGCGATTCAGGCCAATTGGGCCTCTTGTTTAATGGTACTTCTTATATATGTAAAGGGTATCATTCTTGGATAATTAAAAACATGTATAAAAAAGAAATGAAAAAACTATCCTACAAATCATGAATTAGTATCATCATTAAGTAAAGGGGCCCAGTTGAAAGTAATAACAAGCGAAACTGAAAATAAATCTATAATATTTTAATATTAATTTCTGTATATACATATAATTCATCTCAACAATACATATAACTTTCTGTAGGAAAGATAGATGACTGTAGAGATAATTCATAAATACTTCATTGTAAAAGACAACACAATAATATTCAATAGAAAACTTTGATAAAGGGCAGTGATATTCAAAATGAATACAGTGCAGTGATATTCAACAGAATTTTGTAATGAATACAAAGCAGCAGTTTTTTCACAGCAATGTGATGAAAACGAGGAAGTGACATTCAGTAGAATATTTAAATGAATACAGGGCAGGTATATTTACCAGAATATTTAAATAAATACAGTGCATTCAGTGGAATATTTAAATGAATACAGGGCAGGTATATTTACCAGAATATTTAAATGCCAGGCACTGATATTCAATAGAACATAGAAATGAATACAAGGCTCTGAATTGTAATGAATAGAACACACTTGTTTTTAACAGAGCACTAATGAAAACAAGGCAAAGATATTGAACAGGGCAGTTTAGGTTTGTGTATTAACAGTATATATTGATTACATACAAGCCATTTTAATGTAGAGAAATCTCAAAATCTGAGCCAAGCACTTTTGAGTAAATGCAAAATGAACAAATAATTCAACTGAGAAATTGTAATACATCTACGGCAACAAATCGTACACCTTTTGACATGACAACAAGAGGTCCAATGGGCCTGAATCGCTCATCTGGTGTTAATCTCACACTTGTAATTTTAAAAGTGGACTAAAATACAGCTACAGGGACTTCCGGTTAAGATGGCGGCAGCTAGACACGCTTACAAAGTTGTGTGAGGGAAAAATATGGCTGGGGCCTTTTTCGGCATGAAACATGGCACCAAAATCAAGTACAAAGGTCAAGGATAAAAAGAATACACAAAAAGAAGTGAAGAGGAGAGATAAATCACAAGACATTAGGGATTACGGAACAGAAGAGAACGGGTCTCCAGTCGCGAGCACATGGTCGGAGGAAAAAATGGCGTCCAAAAAAACATCATCGACAGACGAAATTAAAGACTTTATTATACAGATGGAAAAAAGGATAACCAATAATATGAACTTAAAATTCCATGAACAAGCAGAACTTTTAAAGAACGAGCTAGCTACGGTGTCGAAGGACTTGGACGGATTAAAGTCAAAGTTTGAAGCACGTGGGGAAGAACTGAAGGAGGTTACCACGAGGCTGTCCTCAGTGGAGGATTCGATACAGGAATTCAGGAATTCCGATGACTCTCGTGTAAAAGAGGAATTATCGTATTCAGTTAAAGCACTGGAAAAGTTAGAATGTCACGGGAGAAAGTACAATTTGCTTTTTTATGGTGTTCCACAAACGCAGGACAAAAGTGTTTATTTTACCCTGAGGCAGTTCTTTAAAAATCAGCTAAAAATTGAGGAGTCTGTCGCTCAGGCTATTCACATTGCGAATGCGCACGTGTTGCCCCGAGGAAGAGGTAGACCTGATCAAGGACACCTCCCAATGATAGCCAAATTTGTCAACTGGGAAGAAAGACAGTTGGTGCTTTCATCGTCCCCACAG